AAAGAGTTTTTATTAAAAGAGTTTCTATAAAACTATAAAATATTTATTACTTATTATAAAAAAATCTATACTATTATTAAAAGAGTTTCTATAAAACTCTAACACAAATTACAAAAAAAATATTTATTAATTAACATAAAAATATTTTTATAAAAATAGTTTCTATGAAATATTTATAAATTATTTTTTAATATCACTATAACAGAGTTTTTATAAAAATAGTTTCTATAAAACTCTAAAAATTACCAAATAAAATCAATCACCATTTTCAAATTACCTAATAAAATTCAAATTACAAATTATCTAATAAATCTAATTTCTATAAAACTCTAATAAAATTTAAATTACAAAGATAGTTTTTATAAATGAGTTTCTATAAAACTATAAAATAATTATTAATTAATATAAAAAGAGTTTTTATAAAAAGAGTTTTTATAAAACTTTAAAAACTAGCTAATAAAATCAATCACCACTTTTAAGTTACCTAATAAAATTCAAATTAAAAATTACCTAATAAATCTATACTATTATTAAAAGGGTTTCTATAAAATTTCAACACAAAATATATATAAAAAAATTATCACCATTTTAAATTACCTAATAAAATTCAAACGACAAAAATAGTTTTTATAAAAATAGTTTCTATGAAACTATAAAATATTTATTAATTAGTATTAAAAAATCTATACTATTATTAAAAGAGTTTCTATAAAACTCTAAAAAAAAATAATAATAAATAAAAAAAATTAATTAATTTAAAAAGAGTTTCTATAAAACTATAAAATATTTATTATTTAATATAAAATATTTATTAATTGATATAAAAAGAGTTTTTATATATAGGGTTTATGAAAATAGTTTCTATAAAATTCTAAAAATTACGTAATAAAATTAATCACCATTTTCAAATTACCTAATAAAATCAAATTACAAGTTACCTAATAAATCTATTTTTTATAAAATTCTAACACATCGGATTTTCTAATATATCATACTTAGATGATTCATCCATCAATGGAAAACCTTATTTTGTTTCTTTTGTGGTGATCATTATTACTCTTTAAACATTGTTAATATGAATTCATTTAATATATGACAATATCATATAACGAAAACTATAAACAATTAAAACTATAAACAATTAAAAAAATATATGAACAAAAATATTCACCACGTGCAACGCACGTGTCTTTTCCTAATATATATATATATATATATATATATATATATATATATATATATATATATAAGCTAGTAAAATATACATGCGATGCATGTAAACAGAAATGTGTATATAACTATAAAGTAAAAAAATTGTAAATGATCAAAAATATATATAGGAATAATTTTTTTGTTATTATTTATTATATATAAATAATATTATAAAAATATATTATTTATTAAAATAAATAACATTATAAAAATATAAAATAAATTATAGAAAATTAAATATAAAATTAATTTTGTATATAGAATTCTTAATTTAGGATTTTATTGATATATATATATTGATATAGAATTATTGTTATATATTTATTGAAATAAATTATATATTTCCTTCTCTAATTAGATTTTTTTTAATTTAATTTCAATTATTAGTATTACTATTTCTCTTCTAATTAGATTTTATTTTATTGAATTAAATAAATAAATTTTTTAATATTATATATTTCATTCCCTAATTAGATTAATTTATATCTAAATATTTCCTTCTCTATATTTCCTTTTACTGATTTTCAGTATTTTGAAATAAATAACATTATAAAAATTTAAAATAAATTACACAAAATTAAAGATAAAAATAATTTCGTATATTGATTTATTTTGAAGATTATATTGGTATATTTTGGTATAGAATTATTATTTTGTATTTATTGAAATAAATTATATATTTCATTCTCTAATTAGTTTTTCTTTTATTTAATTTCAGCGTTTTCTACTGTTGTATTTTTATTATTAGTATTTCTCCTCTAATTAGATTTCCTTTTATTAAATTAAATAAATAAATTTTTAAATATTATATATTTCATTCCCTAATTAGATTTATCTATACCTATATATATTTTTCTCTAATTAGTATTATATATTTCATTCTCTAATTAGATTTATCTATACCTATATATATTTTTCTCTAATTAGTATTATATATTTTATTCTATAATTAGATTGTTTTATTTAATTTAAATAGTATATATATATTTTTAATATTATATATTTAATTCTCTTATTAGATTTCCTTTTATTGAATTTAGTAATTTTATTTTTTGATATTTTATATTTCCTTCTCTAGTTAGATTTTCTTTTATTGAATTTCAATAGTATAATTTTTTAATATTGTATATTTCCTTCTCTTATTAGATTTCCTTTCATTGAATTTGAGTACAAATTTTTAGTTTTATATATTTCAGTAGTATAATTTACAGCTCGGTTCGATTGATATCACTATTTGTTTCCAAATTTATGTAACCGAAAGGACCAATTCGGTTCCAAAATACTCTAAAATAGGTTCAATCCGAATCGCATGCACCCTACTAACCTCACTTAGCCATTAGAATTATGTTATAAGACTGACGATAAATAACTTTTTATAAAAAATTTAAGTTTTTCTTTATTTTTAATTTTAAAAATAAATATTAACAAAATTACGCGCTATTAAAGTGATATTATAATGACAAAAATGCCCTTTAATATAAATTTTTAGTTTTCCTCTTAACCGGGTCTACAGATTATTCATTTATTTTACATGTCATGAAAATAAAAATTCAAGAAAAGATATTATTTTCTTAATTTATATCATCCATCCACTTTAAGTTACATGTCATTAAAATAAGATCATAAATACTTACCAAAATATTTGCTCCGTACAATTTTTTATTTTTGTAACACTACCTTGAGGCTTGAGTTACTCATTATTGAGGTGCCAAATGAGTATCAATTTTGATGCTCAAATATACTAATTGAAACAATACCATGGTCAACTCATAAGAGACTTTATGAAGCCATCATCTACCACCGTAAGTAGCAAAAATAGGCTCACCAACCTCGCATTATCCTACCACCACACTGTGTACTGTGCAGTATATATACTGTCTATGTTACACATCAGAATGTACTTTAATGTACCTGATTCTATTTAAGTTTTCATCAACATTTTTTCTTCCTTCGCAAACTCAAAATAGTCCCAAAAATTAGGTGAAATCACATCATCATGTACTTTAATGTACTATTCTATTTTAAGTTTTCATTTTTTATTTTATTTTATTTTATTTTAGTGCAAACTCAAAATAAACCCCAAAATTAGTGTAACCCCAGGTGTGAGAGAGATTCACATCAACATATATAAATTTCTTGAAATTTCTTTTTAAAGTGACTAAACAATGCAAAACATACCCAACCAATTACCAATGACAACATACATAACTAATTAACAATCATAAGATGACAACAAGTGAGATTCACGTCAACTAGTTATTTTTGTTTTAATTGTTTAGATGTCTAATTTAATAAGCATCAATAATTCAGTTTAATTCTTTTTCAGATAATTGCTCGATGCATATAAAGGGTGACTACATTTAGGAACAGAGCTAGAAATTTGTAAAATTTGTTTCGGGTGGAGCACACAATGAGAGATCTTTAAAGGAGAAAAAAAATTGAATTTGATTGAAAAGTATAATTTTTTTTTTTTTGGAAGGGAACTAAAGGAATTAGAAGAAGAGGAGGAGGGGCAAAAGAGAAAAGAAAAATAAATAGAGAAATAAATTCCAGCTTGTGGGGCCCAGCCTAGGAGGGGTACCTGCCCAATCATAATTGACTCCCTCCCTCACTACACTTACCTAACGGTGGATTATGAGACGGTCTAACGTTTCACAACCATCAATGTCCCAACCCGAAAAAACGAAAAAACACGTATCTTAACTTTCGGGTCGCAGAATTAGCTGGGACCATAATGGAGAGAGGGGCAACAAAATGAATTTCCAAGAATGAAAGAACATATAGGGCCTAGGATACCAAAATGGTGGATACATTTGTCATAGTTGTGGGTTAGGGGTGTTGAGCTGTGTTTGGAATTGGGATGTTCAACCAAATAATAGAACTCCACATTAAAAGATGTGGACTTCTACCGAAGAACAATAAGGGACACTAAATACCCGCCTCAATTTCAGGTGAGAAGCTTTCAATGCCTCAAACCACCTAGGAAGACCTTCTCACTTACTTACACCCACACATCTCTCCTCTCTGTGTGTGTGTCTGTGTGTGTGTGACTGGTATCTCCACAGGTCTTGTCCTTTCAGCAAAGGGGTAGTTGGAAGTCAATGAGATTATCACCTCTCCTGATCTGCTCATCACTGCCTTAAAATTTGTGACTAGTGATTATTCATATTAAAACATGTACCAAGAATTATACACTAATTAATTCTTGCTCTTATCTCAATTATCATTATCAATAACAATCATCCAGCGCTTCTGACCCATGCTTTTAAACGAAAGCTAGTTCTGTGCATGAGATTTTTGCATGATCTGGAGGGACTGTTGTTTTTAAATTTTAAACAGTTGAGCAACTTTATGGTTACGGTAGACTACAATACCCATCATACTCTTAACGATGTATTTCAAAAATAATTAAGGACATTAATGACCTAAAATGAGACCCGTGAAAAGACTCGTTAAAGTTTCGATTCAACAAATAAGTTAGACTAATCGGTTATATAACGGTACCCATGATGTTATGATGAATAGTAATACTCCAGAATAGTACATATTTGTGATGCATGCATATGTAACATTACCCAAAAGTTAATGCATTTATTATCACAACACAGAAAACATTTAAAATATCTGTCAGTTTGCCTACTTAATTAATTGTTTCCATCTCAGGACTCGTTACCGTAAAACCTCTCTTATTAGCTGACTCTGTACTCCTACACACCACAGAGTTTAAATGTGCAATGACTTTGGCCATTAATGACCTCAACGAACTTCCTCCCCCACAACCTCTTTCATATCTAAACTTTACCAATATATATTTATTTGACTAGTCCCTCACTCCATATCTCCAATTAAGCTTCCCATTCAGCTCATAAAAAACACACACACAAACAAAACATGGCTTACATATATATGCCATGGCTCATGATGTCCCAACTCTTCATACTGGTCACTACTAGTGCAGCCAAAGTTCCCGCCATCATCGTGTTCGGAGACTCCTCCGTTGATGCCGGCAACAACAACCAGATTTCGACGCCTCTCAAGAGCAATTTCGAGCCTTATGGCCGGGATTTCTTTGGCGGTAGGCCCACCGGAAGGTTCTCCAATGGTCGCATTCCGCCGGATTTCATTTCGGAGGGTTTTGGGCTCAAGCCTAGTGTGCCGGCATACTTGGATCCAATGTATAGTATCAAAGATTTTGCTACTGGAGTCTGCTTTGCCTCTGCTGGTACTGGCTATGACAATGCTACCTCTAATGTGCTAGTAAGTCACTTGTCATTTTATTACACACTTGTGAAAGTTTTTATTAGTCAAACACTATTTGATCAAATAGCTCATCATTATAAAATTGTATAAATCATTATCTTTCTTGTCTTAATCTGGTATAAATGGAATCGATCACATGAATACTGATTTTTTCATTTTTTTTTTTTATTACAAGTAATTTTTCCTATTATTTTTAATTTTTTGAAATCATTTTTATATATAATACCCTTTGGTTTCATTGAATCCAAAAAGGGTTCATGTTTTTCTTTTTGTTTATTTATTTTATTTGGGGCTAAATTGGGTAAATAGTATAAATGAGAAAAAGCTGTACAGGTTCTCTGAAAGAGAAACTTACAAGACCTTCAAGGTCCAAACAAAAGAATAAGAGGGACAACCAGAAAAGTGATAATTGAAACAGTCACTAAGAGCAAATGAAACACAATAAAACCAACAACTTCTTCAATTTATTATAGTACACATGTTTGATGCCACACATGTTGGACAATTTTGTGTGTGTGTGTGTGTGTTTTTGGTTAAATTTTGTACCTACTGATGCATTTTGGATCATATATTGTTTGGCTTGCAGAGAGTGATACCTCTATGGAAGGAAGTGGAGTACTATAAGGACTACCAGAAGAAGCTGAGAGCCTACATGGGTGAGAAGAAGGCGAGTGAAGTAATAAGTGAGTCTCTGTATCTGATAAGCATAGGAACAAATGACTTTCTTGAGAACTACTATACTCTTCCGAGCACACAGTCTCGATACTCCGTTGACCAGTACCAAAATTTTCTGGTTGGAACTGCGGAGAGTTTCGTCAAGGAAATATATGGTCTCGGAGCTAGGAAAATTTCCCTCGGAGGGCTTCCGCCAATGGGGTGTTTGCCATTGGAGAGAACAACAAATTTCATGGGCGGAAATGGAAATGGATGCGTGGAAAGATACAACATTGTGGCAGCGAATTTCAACGGAAAGCTCAGCGGTTTGGTGCAGAAGTTAAACAATGAGCTTCCTGGGATGCAAATGGTGTTCTCCAATCCTTACTATGTTTTCCAGCAAATTGTCCGAAAACCTTCTGCATATGGTACGTTATTATTTTTAATTGATTTATTGATTTTGATGATAATGACTTTACATGATCTCACATATGTTACCATCACAATAGGTTTAAAACATTTTTTTTTTTTTTTTTTTTTTTATTTTCTTTAAAAAATCAAAAAATAAATATAGAAAGCATAATCACTAGAATTTCAGTTTAATTTGGTTGGTGAAACTCTTATGGGATGACACACACACACATGTTTTGAGTGGTTGTCACCGATGTCATTACTCATCATTTTTATTTTCAGCACTAACCTCCTGAACCTTGATTTGGACATTCTTCAAGTGTACTTAATGCAATGTTTGGACATTTTATTTTTATTTTTTTTTTCCTGAATTACAGGGTTCGAAGTTACAGCAGTGGCATGCTGTGCCACAGGGATGTTCGAGATGAGTTATATGTGCGATCGATACAATCCATTTACATGCACGGATGCAAGCAAGTATGTGTTCTGGGATTCGTTCCATCCCACGGAGAAAACAAACCAGATCATCACTGATCATTTGATGAAACATGTCCTGCGCAAGTTCCTTTGATTTCCTACAAAAAGCATATGATGTAAAATTATAGGACCTACTATATATAAGTGGCTTTGTTGAAGTACTTCATTTGTATAATTATTAATGATGTTATGTCATTACCACTGCTATTATATTCATTATTAGCTTTAGTGAGGTGTTTAGTTTGTTTCTTCAGGCTGCACAAAGTCTCTTCATTCAGTTTGATGTTGATCATATAACAGTGCCTGAAAAAGATTGAATGATATGATTATGCAATGTTGAAATAAATTTTTTGTGTTTGAGGGTATAAGACGTCCAAGAGATTGTTCATGTATATTTTCTTGTATGTTGATCTTGTACTCTCTGATCTTCTGAGGAAGAAGATAGCATTTCGTAGGATGTTGGAACATTGGACAGCATCACACGGAAGTTGGGTGGGTCTCAACTTGGTCCAACCTGAACCCGAACCAAAAAAATTTGGGCCTGAGTTCGCTAATCCATAAATTGGGTTGGGACCGAGTTGATCATTCTTGGACCGAAGCACATTTCGGATTGGTGCTTGGGTTACGATAGTTCTAATCCGAGCCCAACCCGGAACCTGAATTTACACACATCCCTAATCCTAACCTGAAATTCCACACACCCCTAATCCTACCGTTAAATGATCTGATCCAACGGTTGACTAGAGACACTCAAATCCCAACCCTTAATGCAGATTGGGCCTGCCCAACTTGGACTCCTATGTTTAATTGCCTCTTCTTAGCATTATCAAGGAAAAAGATTTGGATTTGCTGTGAAGTGCTATCCTCATTCCTCTTTGTGCTCTATGTGGGAAAATGAGTTCCAATTTATTTCTTAAGGTTTGAGTCACTTTTTATTTGTCAATTTGAGAGTCTTGCTACCTCCCCCCCACCCCCCCCCCCCCCCCCCAAACCCCAACTGTTTGGGGCAATGGTTTTTCATGGTTGATCGGTAAATGTGAAATATAAAATGTGAGTGGCATATTTTGGTGATCAAAACAAAATCCGAATTGAGTTATAATTTTTTATTTATTTGAGTCTCGGTTTCGGAAGCGAAAAATTCAAGTGACGCTGCTCACGACAACTCTAGTTTGACATTGAACAACCAATAATCAAGGTAATTGTGTGACGATCACTTAGAGTAGGTTTGAAGTTGGAATAGAGTATTTAAGATTTTTCAGAAATAGAAAAACCGGTTGCACTTCATATTAGAACCGGTTTAATTACCTTATCAAAACTGTACTCAGTAAAAGTCCAACCGATTGCATTTTCAAGTAGAACCGGTTGAACTTGCAGAAAATGAAAGTTTTGTTTTAGCCAACTTCTAATACCCTTTAAAGTTTGAATTAGAAAATTATTTTAGCATGAAATTGGACGTGTTTTCTAACCCTAATAGATCTTTCTAATATATTACATAAAATCTCATTCACACAATTGATTACGGATTTTTTCATTGAAGATTTCAAAGTCTTTTGTTTGAATTTTTAGAGTTTGATATTTTTATGTTTTTGAGAGCTTACACTTGTGCACTTGAGTGAATCAGGTTGTTATTCAACGTTCGATCTGTGTTTGTGTGATTGAAATTTTATTACTACCGGTCGTCAACCAGAAATGTTTTTCTACTTCAAAAATCCTATTTTAAAGAAAATGATGAGAATATCACACTTTAAAGGGATCAAGACATTCATTGAGTATTGGTTAATCTACCCGCGATCAGAGATCAAGAGTAAGTCTTAAGTCGAGTACTGTTGAACGAGGGAGTTGCAAAGCCAAAGATGGTCAGCAATTGATTTTTGGTAAAGTGACATGGTGTGAGCTTGAGTCGAAGTGTATTGTACTTTGCTTCATACATGCACAGTGAATTTTTTTACTCGAGACCGCATGACAATCTGCAAGGATTTTTCAGTGTTTGGATGATTTCTTCAATTAGGTTTTCTCGCTAAAAATCTGGTATCTCTCTAACTCTACTTTTTTACTTTACTTCTACTAAGTTATTGCTTTGTGGTGATAAATTTACTTTTGTTTCAGTAAATTTAATTCAAGCAAAAATAAGATAAAATGGCAAGTTCAACTTATTCATCCTCTCTAGATTGCTTATCTATACTATTATTTTACACAACCATTTTGCATTGTGGAATTCATACTAAACAGTGAGGAAAAAAAGGGGAGAGGTGTGACAATTTTTACATTGGTGACCATTCTCCAGCTTCCCATTGTGGATGGAGATTTTTCTCTATTTGGGACAACTTTTGGATCCTGTGCTTAACAAATTTGCTCTTTATTAATCCGTATTCGTATTTATCTGAATTTTGAAAATTTGAAACACCAAAAAGTCTACAGTTATGTTTGGAGCATCATTGGATTGAGTTCTTAAAATTGAAAAATAATTAATTGAAAGTTTGAATTAATTTTTTTTTAATTTTAATTCAAATTTCCGATTTTAATTCGAACAAGTTGATTCATTGCTTCCCAATGCAATATGTATATTGTTACAAGGGAATATTTGTCTCACATCGGATCTAGATGAGAGAGTGATTGGATATAAATGAGTGATTATTGAGCACTATCCAACTAGGGGTACAAAAAAATCCTGTCAAACCAAAAATTCAAACCGGACCGGACAGTTTGGTTTGGTTCGGTCACGGTTTTAAATTTGTGAAACCGTAAAGATACGGTTTGAAGTCCTTTAGGACCGAACTGAACCGTTATGTTTATATATATATATATATACAATATATATAATACAATATAATCTTACAATTCAAATCACTTAAAGTTTGTAGCAACTATCAATCATACGGTCCACTCTTAATTTTTTTATGTTTTATCAATTTATTAAATGATTCTTATTATTTTATATATATTTTTTTATAGTGGTTGGATTTTGAATTGTGACTGAATGTTTATTGTTGAATTAATAATTCTAAATGTACTAGGTTATTAACAATTATGAATTTATTCACTTCAGTTTCAGAAGTGATAGACAATAATGAATTAAAAGTTCTGAATATATTAGTAACTTAATTTATTATTTTGCATGTGGATTTTGAAATACGAATACTTCTGTTAATAAAAATAAAAAATAAAAAAAGGAAACCGTGGAACCGAACCGAACCGAACCAAACCGAATTTTCACGATTTGGTTTGGTCCTTTTGATCAAATAGTTCAGTTTGGTTTCAAATTTTATGAAATGTACCATTAGAATTGGTTTAGTTTAAAAAAAATTTTAAACCGGTCCAAACCAAATTATGTGCACCTCTATACTCAACAATTTAAACTTTTGAATAAATATTCACTCATTATATATATATATATATATATATTTATGCACGTGCGCTCGCGCACTTAGTATAAGCTGGTGAGACAATAAATTGAGATGGGAGGTAGATATTGATATGGGTCAATGGCAAAATGACACGTGGCAAAAAAGGCGAATTGTGTGGGTGCAATTATGCAACGTGGCAGCAATTAAGAGGAAGAAATTAATATGGTTCGGTTATGAAATGCAAAAATGCAACCACTTTGACATGTGAGTTTAGTTGCAACGTTGGTTGGAACAAGGGAGTGAATAGTTAGCATAAAATTTCAAACCTGTCTCTCTCAACACAACAGGTTGCAACATATTTTCAATCCATTAAAGCTTTTTACATTGTTTTCCAAGTTTAGCTTTAATTGTCTCTAGTTTTAGTTGTACCACTTATTGATTTCAGAGTGTTCCATTTCATTTTCATCAAATTTAGGCGTCAATGAGTCAGAAATTAGGAATTCATTGTTTGACTTTAGGTGCAAGTGTCTCAATTACCATAACTGACCTTCTTAATTGACTCTGACCTACACGCCCCTATGGTTTAAATGTAACTTTAGCCATAAATTTATGACCCCAACAAACTTATTCCGCTAAATGTCCATTAGTTCCTCAATTCACCTCCAAGCTTGTTATTCAGATTAATAAAACACAGAAAGAAAATCATGGTTTACAAATATATTATTCCATGGCTCATACTAGTCCTGACTGCTACTAGTGCAGCCACAGTTGCCGGCAATGTTCCGGCCATCATCGTGTTCGGAGACTCCTCTGTTGATGCAGGCAACAACAACCAGATTCTGACGATTGCCAGAGCCAATTTCCCGCCTTATGGTCGTGATTTTCCCGGTGGTACGGCCACCGGAAGGTTCTCCAACGGTAAAATTCCTCCAGATTTCATTTCGGAGGCATTCGGTCTAAATCCAATTGTGCCAGCATACTTGGATCCAATGTATAATATATCAGATTTTGCTGTCGGAGTCAGCTTTGCCTCTGCTGGTACTGGCTATGACACTGCCACCTCCAATGTGCTAGTAAGCCCCTTGTCAATGTATATTCAAATTTTATTTTTTTATTTTTTATTCAATGTAAACTTAATTGCATATACTATATTACATATAAATATAACGGTAATTATGTCTTGCTCATCAACCTTAATTTTATCCACACCAAACATGATTACAGTTGAATATAATAACTAAAAATAAAATCATACTAAAATTTACGAAAAGGTTATGATCACTGCAAAATAATAACCGAAAAAATATCATTGTTCTCTCACAATGGTGTTTGAAGCATACAACATCTGACGTGTGAAGCATAACATAAGATGAAATTATTAGTCGTGACCATAACCATGATAAAATTTTCGTAATCTCTAGTATGATTATGTATATATATATATATTTTATGTACAATATTGCTACATATAATAGTTTAGCTAACCGATTAATTTTCATCTTGGATGAATAATAGTCTAGTCGAGAATTCTAAACGAGGGCCTTGCCTTGCAGAAAACAATACCTCTATGGAAGGAAATGGAGTACTACAAGGAGTATCAGAAGAGGCTGAGAGACTATCTTGGAGACGATAAGGCCAACTACATAATTAGCGAGGCTTTATATCTGATAAGCATGGGAACAAATGACTTTCTTGAGAACTACTATCTTCTTCCCATTACTCAAGCTAGATACTCTGTTGACCAGTACCAAGATGTTCTGATTGGAATGGCGGAAAATTTCCTTAGGGAGCTGCATGAACTCGGAGCTAGAAAAATTTCCCTCGGGGGGATTCCGCCAATGGGGTGTTTGCCATTGCAGAGAAGTACAAATCTTATGACTGGAAAAGGAGATACATGTGTGGAGGAATATAACGTGGTGTCTGTGAGTTTCAATGCCAAGCTGAATGGTTTGGTGCAAAAGCTAAACAAGGAGCTTCCTGGTGCTCAGTTGGTGTACTCGAATGTTTACGACCTTTTCTGGGAATATATCCATAATCCTTCTCCATATGGTAAGTTTTATTTTCAATTCATTTAATTTCGTTCTGATTTTCAATTCATCTGTTACTCTGATATTGATAGCTTTTTGGACCTTACATGATTTTCAATTCATTGATATGGAATTCATAAAAAGAATTTTGTTAGAAGAAATTCATTATAAAAAAAAACATTTTGCGAATGCATTTCTTAAGAAGACTATATATATATTTTTTTAATTATATATATATTTTTCGATAATAATATCCCTTATCATTAACAACTATTGCAAGTCTCTAATAAAAAGTGTGAAAGGAAAGGTGGAACAAGTCTCTAATAAAAAGTGTGAAAGGAAAGGTGGAAGTGGAGGTGGAGGTGGAAGGAGGTGCCGCTGGTAGTTTTGGAACATGATGAGGCGGTGGATATATGTAGAAGGTGGCGGTTACAGTGGCAGTGAAAAGTACATAGATAAATTAGTAAAATAATGCAAACGATTTCATAGCCAAGTGGAGTTGCTTCCCGTTGTCTTAAGAAACCTGCCTTTGAGTCTTTGAAAAAAATTTGACTTCTAAAGAGGTTTTAAAAGTGACACCAGTGGCTGAGTTGCACCCGATGTCTTAAAGAGCTTGACTTTGAACCTTTGAAAAAAAATTGACTCATAGAGGTTTTAAAAGTGACATTTTTTTCCGTCTCTGAAACGGACTTCCTAACCATAGACTTGCTGGAAAGGCATTTATATGTGTAACCAAACATCATATTTTTTAGGACTTTTGAAGCTTGATATAGGACTTTTTGAGACCACAAAAAGCTCCTCCAAATTATTATGTTTTAAAATAAAATCAAAATGGCATGATGACCAGAAGTCTAGAATTTTAGTTGAGTTTGATTTGATTTGTGAAACTCTTATGGTTGTAGGGCGGGCAGATATATATATATATATATATATATATATATATATATATAGATTTATATGTTGATCTTGAGGACCTATTTGGTATATTAGGAAAGTTTTGAAGTTTTTTTTTTTTGGTAAATAGTTGTTGTTGTTGTTGTTGGTTAAATTACAGGTTTCGAGGATGGTGGAAGGGCATGTTGTGCCACTGGGATGTACGAGATGAGTTACTTATGCAACAAAATGAATCCATTAACATGTAAAGATGCAAGTAAGTTTTTGTTCTGGGATGCCTTTCATCCTTCCGAGCAAACAAGTCGTATCATCTCGGAGCACGTCGTTAAAAATGAATTGCATCAGTTCAGGGCCGAAGACGGAACCGGAGCCGGAGGGAGTTCACACCTAGGGGGAGGGAGTTCAGACCTAGGGGGTGCAAGTGCCCCCCGTGGATTCTCTCCCTCCCTTATATTATATATATACTTCCCTATAATCTATATATATATTTTTGGAAATATGTAAAGTGCCCCTCCTGTATCAGTTCCTTTGATTTCTTACAAAGCATGACGTACATATAATTTACAAGAAGTAGCTTTGCTGATATATTTTTAGTAAATAACTCCTACAGTACTTTTGGGAGAGTTGAATCTTATACCTTTTGTTGAGATACTATTAGGCCGCAGACATTAAATCACTTTGTTGATTTATATATATATTATTAATTAGTTTTGTTATTTATTTTCTGTTGGGTAAATTAGTTATTTTTATTATTAACACTGCCAATATATTCAATATAAACTTTGGTTAGGTACTTGGGTGTTTTTTCAAAGAATAAATACATAAATTCTGTTCATTCAGTTTGATGTTGATAACACAACAGAATGCTGCCTAAATAAGATTGGATGGAGAAAAAGAAAGATTGGATGATTAGGGCATGTTAGAACAAAATTTTGGGGTTTTTTGGTATCCTCAAAGTGGGAAAATGTGTTCCAACTAATTTTTAAACTTCGACACACTTTTTCTTTGTCAATTGAAAATCTTGCTAATATTGATGAAGGTTGTTTTAATTTTTCTCATCACAAATGTTTTGCCTAATGGATTTTCTTGGTTCAATGGTAGTTAGTGAAGAAAAAAGGGAAGAAATCACAATATATATTACTCGAGACGCTCTCTGCTTGCATAGCGTTTCAAGACCATTGGTCTGAACTAATCATGTACTAATACATTATAAGCAAATATGATCGGCTGGGATCAATGATCCTGGGATCAATGATCCTAGGATCATAAAATAATTTCTTATTGGTTAGACAATAAATTGACAAGGACCAATAGTTAAATGACTCTTGCCAAATAAAGCTAATTGTTGAATGGAATTATGCAATGGCACAGAGAGTTTTGCTTTAGTTAATCTCTAATTTATATAGTTGTAAAATATTAATCTCACCATTATGATTTCATAAATAAATGTGTGGGTGCTTGTCTTTTGATTAAAAAATTTAAGTGCGAATTTCATAAATAAACGTGTGGGTGCTTGTCTTTTGATTAAAAAATTTAAGTCCCAACTTCAACGCCTTCGTTGTGTTCATTATTTGGCAGGTGTGGCAAGAGAGAAATATGAGATTACATGAACCTATATATAGTACATTCCCTTTTCATATGGGATTGTACACCTATAGTTAAGCAACTAGTATCCCATTTTTTACTAAGCCGACGCGGAATTGTACATTTGTAGCTCGCCCCGCCCACACACACCAGCCCATTGATACCATTCAATCAACTTCACCACCCGAGTCTGCACGATTTTGGATTTAGCCAAAAGGCCTCATACTAATCGAAGTATACTAATCACATATATATAACATTGTCCCTTTTGCACACCAAAGTGATGTTGAATTGTGTACCCGTAACCTGTCAGAATAATAGCTTACCAATGTCTCTTGCACCCATTCACAATACACCCACTCATAAGATCGCTGCATACTTGCTTATTGATTTTCCTGTATCAGATACGTTTTTGTTGATTTTATCTTTTTTATGGATCATTGCTGCTAGCAATGTTTCTTGTTATCCTATGGGTTTGAGTTCTACCACATGTCTTATATGTATAAAACATATTTTCACATTTATGGGTGTTTGTTTTGAGTGTTAATGTCACCAATGTCATGTTCAACCAGGTGTAAAGGTCTCCCACACCTTTCTTTCAAAGTGTTCCATTTCATTTTCATTAATCTCAGCATACTCTAATCGCAATGTGGGACATGAACTGCATTTGTTTATTGGTAAATCATCTTGATTGGGTTAGGGTCGAATTTGAAAAAAGAATTTAAAACCCCAAACCCATCCCAATTTATGATTAATACTAGTAAATATTTTTTTATTAATTATATTTTTTCCTTTTACATTATTTCTTCTCATAATTTTAAATTTTAATAACATTTTTGTTATTATGATTGTTAAATATTTGAATATATTATTAAAAAAAATTACAAAATTGATCTTAAATTTATTCACATTTGAATTATTTTTCTTAAAAAACATGTACATTGAGACGCTTGAACTTGGCTTAGAAAAATATTTTCATTTGAGAGACGGGTTTGAGAAAAGGGCTATCCCGTCCCATTAACATTCTTAGTTATAGAATGCTGTAAGAGGTTTGACACTAGCCAAAGATAAGGATTTTATTGTTTTACTTCTTCCGCAAGTGTCTCATTACCACAAGTCACCTTCTTAATACACTGTCCTACACCTTTTTTATTTTTTATTTTTCGGTAAGTCACTCTGTCCTACAGGCTATACAAACTTAATTTAAATGTAACTTTATCTAATAAATGACCCAATAAATTAACTTCGACCTCCATCTAGTTCCTCATTTCATCTCCAAGTCCAAGTCTGTTTTATTCAGGTTAATAAAACATGGCTTACAAATGTATAATTCCATGGGTCATGATGGCCCAATGCTTCATACTAGTCAATAATATAAATGCAGGCAAAGTTCCGGCCATCATCGTGTTCGGAGACTCCTCGGTTGATTCAGGAAACAACAACCATGTTCGGACGATTGTCAAAGCAAATTTTCCGCCTTATGGTCGTGACTTTCCTGGTGGTAATCCCACCGGAAGGTTCTGCAATGGTCGCATTCCTCCTGATTTCATTTCGGAGGCATTTGGGCTTAAGAAAATTGTGCCACCATACTTGCATCCATCGTATGATATAAAAGAGTTTGCTACTGGTGTCTGCTTTGCCTCTGCTGGTACTGGCTATGACCCTGCCACCTCCAATATCCTAGTAAGCCCCTTGTCAATGTTAACTCAATTGCGCGCATGTACACCCTTTATTATATTATTATTACCATTAGGGTAAAGAGAAAAAAAAATAAATAAATAAAAACCTTTAAAATATTGTTTTTTTTTTTTTGCAAATAAACCTCTGAACTACAAATTGCCTCATGAAGTATTGGTTTGTTGTAATTAAGTACAAACCTATTAAAGAAGACTATTTTACTCTTTCTCATTAAAGTTTGTCATTTCTTATTAATTTATTATCTTTTGTCTTATCTAAATATTAATTATACAATTTGACTTAATTTTATTATTAGATAGTATCAATTTATCTAAAAAAATAATAATAAATAGATTGTTACTACCATTTTCTAAAATAATATTTTTTATTAAAATTTTATTATTTAAATTAAAATTTATTATACTCAATTTAAACTTTTTTACAATAAAAAAATACATTTTTTCATACAATATATTCATAAAAAATTAATAAATTACTTAAATAAAAACACCTTCTCTTTAATGCAATATATTGGTGAAAATTTAAGATATTACTTAAATTGTTTTAAATTTTTCTACTTCAGATTTTCATTTAAACAGTTAATTAAAAAATTAAAGGTAAATTTAAGGGAGAATATGTCATCAAATTAATATGAAATTTTTTCATAATTTATTTCTATAAGAAAATTAGATTAAATGCAATCCAATAAGAAATGATATTATGATCATTTAATAAAAAATAGTAGTATTGGAGCAATTTGCAACATGTGATCATTTAGGAAGTATTATGCACAAAATATGCTTTAAGGGGGTTATTGCAAATTCAGGAATAGTTCAAGGGATTTTTTACACTTTACCTTTATTATTATTCCGATCACTCAAGTACTAACACATAATGTCTAACTCCAACGTTCGAACACCTCCCCTCCTCTTTGAAAAAGTAGTGCGGTTAGGAAAATGATCCTTTCCAGCCATTGGCTCGTGAACTCTGCAGACTTCAATACCGGTCTCCCTTAAGCCACATCATCATCTCGTCAAAGTAAATTATGTTACAATTGAATTTATAAGCGGTAAATTTTGACCAAATGATAACGTGGCTGAAGACAGGCAGTAGGATTAAAGTCTGCGGAGTTCAGGAGAAAGATTTGGCGAAGAGGATCCAAATATGTGAGGAGGGTTTATACCATTGGTGCTGAATTCTGTTGCCATTAAAGCTTTATAAATATATATTGACCTACAATGTAAACTTTACATGAGATCATTGAATTCAGAACATTGGCCAATGTTAACTTGACTGTTTTATGTTAACCAACCTTTGATCATTGTTTGGCTTGCAGAAAACCGTACCTCTATCGAAGGAAGTGGACAACTATAAGGAGTATCAGAAGAAGCTGAGAGCCCATCTAGGCGAGAAGAAGGCCAACGAAGTAATAAGCGAGGCTTTGTATGTTATAAGCATGGGAACGAATGACTTTCTTGAGAACTACTATCTTCATCCCATCACGCGTGGTAAATACTCCAACTCTGTTGACAAGTATATAGATTTTCTGGTTGGAATTGCCGAAAAATTCGTCAAGGAACTACATAGCCTCGGAGCTAGGAAGATTTCCCTCGGAGGGCTTCTACCAATGGGGTGTTTGCCCATGCAGAGAACTAAAAATATTGTCGGAGGAAAAGGAGATAAATGTGTGGATGATCTAAACACAGTGTCTAAGAATTTCAATTCCAAGCTGAGTAATACGGTGCAAAAGCTAAACAAGGAGCTTTCTGGGATAAAATTGGTGTACGCAAATGTTTACGACCTTTTCTATGAATATATCCATAATTCTTCAAAATATGGTAAGTTATATTTTCCATTAATTCTTGATTTTTTTTTTTTTTTTTTTTTTTTTTTTTTTTTTTTTTCATGCAACAGAACCAATTGATTTTTTTTTTTTTTTTAAATTTGGGGTTAAATTTCAGGGTTCCAGGATGGTGGAAAGGCATGTTGTGCCACTGGAAGGTTCGAGCTTGGATACTTGTGCAACAAAATCAGTCCATTTACATGTAAAGATGCAAAAAAGTTTGTGTTCTGGGATGCTTTCCATCCTTCTGAGGAAACAAACCGTATCATCTCGGATGCTTTGGTTAAAAATGGATTACGTCAGTTCCTTTGATTTCTTACAAATCATGATGCAACAAGATTGTGGGCCTTTGATGGCAATGACGGAGATGTAATTAGTATTTGTTTATAAATTGAATCTGAGTTTTCATTAATTGCTAGCTCAACGGTAAATGTTTGTACGGACACAGGGACGGATTCAGAAAATAATGTGTGGGGAGGCAATAATGAATTTTTTTTAATAATTTCAGAGGGGGCAATGGCCACCCCTCAGCTTGCGGTAGGTCCGTCCCTGATTGGACGATCCATGTGATGGACCGTGGCTATTCTTTTGACTAATTATGTGATTTATTTGAGTTATCACGAGTGTTCATGGAAATATGAATTACGAATAGTGCATTATCATATAGTGTTCACATTCGATGATATAAGATTGACTCTCTATCTGCAAAGAATGGAAGTAGATGAATGATAAGTTGAAATGATTGCAAGAGCCATCGTAGCAATTGCTTCTTATCTATGAGTATCATATCGTAAATTGACTTAGTTGTTTAACTATCTAGCCCCGCCAAAAGAGTCACAGTCTCTGCCTCTAGCCCCCCATTACACTGTTTTTAAGGTTTTCGGACCTTTTAAGAGCAATAGTTAGGTCTTTGAGTGAGTTTGACCATCAAACTTGGGGTTAACCATTGGAGCCCCGTCGAAGGGTTTGGTCAAAGTGAGTGATGGATCACTCTTTTTACTGATATCCTTATCTATACTTGATTTTTTTTTCTTCTTTTCTTAGGAGTTGTTTTTTGACCTCTGTGTTTTTTTTTATAAAACCTAAAGTTTTTAAGTGATAATTAAAATGTAAATATATATTTGATATTTTTTTGGAATTTTCAACCTTTAATATTTAGTGATAAGTAATGTATTAGTCATTTAAAATTTTATCTCATTTTTAGTGACGCTTATCGTTTTCCACGTCGTTTAATTATGCTTCGTTTTCTTACTTCAAACTCATTTGATATATTATGTACATATTTCAAGAAAATTTTAATTTCATTGGATTGAAATATTTGCTTTTTGAACAAATTCTATTACTCGGCACATGAATAGTAAATGCTCTGAAGGCAGTATACCCCATCAAGAACAAAGAAAGATGATGTCCTTAGAGAAAGCTCCTTCAAAAAGATATGAGAAGAAGCAAGAATCATCCCTCGGCCCAAGTCTGCCGATCCTAACCTCATGAATGGAAATGGTCATAATTTTTTTTAGTCGGTACTTCCACGCACCCTCCTCCAAATTATTGTTTACACTTGATGGCCATTAGTTGGAGGGATCCAACTCCTCTACGTAGGAATCAATCCTCTGCTTCTGTTCATTTGGTTCGTTGTTCAATCGAACGGCACACAAAAGTCCACGTAGTGATTAACCTTTGGTTGTTTGAGCAAAAATTTAACTATTTATTCTCACAAGTTGGTGTATGCATGCCTAGGATTTTGTGCTTAACAAATACTAGTATACTCATTCATATAAGTTAGTCGGGCTTCTCTGACTTTCGAATTTCAAATTATTATCTCTTGTATTTCTTTTCGGTCAAATTTACCATGACTAACCCCTACCTCCTGGTCTCAATGGATTGGAGAGATGAAAATTTCATTGTTTGACTTTCTATAGTCCAAAAACCTGCTTTCCGCGATTGTCTCATTACCATAAGACCTTTCTAAATTGACTTTGTCTACAATCCATTTATTGACCACAAACAAACTTCTTCCCCTCAATCTCCATTAGTTTCTCATTTCTCACCTGAAATCTATTTATCCAACTAGTTCTTCACTCCATCTTCAAGATTGTTATTCAGGTTAATTAATAGATAAATATATATACATAAAAAAGAAAAAAAAAAACAGATAAAAAACAAAATGGCTTACAAATATATTATTCCATGGGTCATGATGGCCCAATGCTCCATACTAGTCACTACTATTAATGCAGGCAAAGTTCCGGCCATCATCGTGTTCGGAGACTCCTCCGTCGAAGCAGGCAACAACAACTTCATCCCGACGATTTCCAGGTGCAATTGGCCGCCTTATGGTCGTGACTTTCCCGGTGGTAAGCCCACTGGAAGGTTCTGCAATGGTAGAATTCCACCAGATTTCATTTCCGAGGCATTTGGGCTTAAGCCAACTGTGCCACCATACTTGGATCCAAAGTGTGATATATCAGACTTTGCTGATGGAGTCTCCTTTGCCTCTTCTTCCTCTGGCTTTGACACCGCCACTTCCAATTTGCTAGTAAGCACCCTTGTCAACCCTAAGTTTACAAGCCCGAAGATTTATTAAATGATTCATTTTGACTTTTCAATTTTTTTTTTTTTTGTTAAAAACTATCTCTATTTATTGGTTAAATAAAGAGACTTCACGTCTCTTTTCATATGAATACTCTTTATCTAAATCCATTTAAAGTAATGCTACATTTAGCTATAGATTGAAAGTGTATTAAATAATTGTATTAGCTTTTAGGTATGTCAAAATGCATATATATATATATATATATATATATATTCCTAGTTGGTAACTCACTTACACTTATCTCTTCTAAGACTTGAACCTGAACTCCCTTTGAAAAGGAAGAGGCTGAAACCGCCAAGTCACTGGCCCCGTTGGTCATATTTATTTTTTATCATATTATAAAATGTCTTCAAATGTTTAGAAAAATTACAATTTAGTGATTGGAAAATTATATTTACACTCTATTTTGCAGAGAGTGTTATCTACATGGAAGCAAGTGGAGTTATATAAGGACTATCAGAAGAAGCTGAGAGGCCATGTTGGAGAGAAAAAGGCCAACTACATAATAAGTGAGGCTTTGTATGTTATAAGCATGGGAACAAATGACTTTCTTTCGAACTACTATCTAAATCCCATTGTTCAAGCTAGATACTCTATTGACCAGTACCAAAATTTTATCATCGGAATAATTGAAAATTTGCTTAGGGAACTGCATAATCTCGGAGCTCGGAAAATTGCCGTTGTAGGGCTTCCACCGATGGGGTGTTTGCCATTGGAGAGAAGTACGAATATATTCAGATTGAAAGGCGATACGTGTGTGGAGAAATACAACATGGTGGCTATGAGTTTCAATTCCCAGCTGAATACTTTGTTGCAAAAGCTGAACAAGGAAGTTCCTGGTATTAGGTTGGTGTACGCAAATTCTTATGACCTTTTATGGGACTACATCCATGATCCTGCCAAATACGGTAAGTTATATTTTACATTGATTCTGATTTCGATGATGAGAAATAATACAGAGTTTGATAGTCGGATATATCTAACTACATTCAATTTTGCCCATTATGACTCCTCGCCCGCACGCTCAAGCACCTCGGCTTGCACACCAGCGTGCACGTCGGCATTGTATGCTAAAAAATGAACAAAAAAGAACCGAGAAGAGAAAATATGAACAACGGAAGAAATAACGTCGAAAACCAAAATCCTAACTTGACCTCAAACCTGTAGGCTGCTTCTAACACAAACTAAAATGACCTTATTATCATTTGAATTGTGATATGTCCTCATTTTAAAATATTTTTTAATTAAAATTTCTAATTATCATGACTTGTGTTTTAAAATTAGTATGGGGATGTGAACTTTGGGTAGACTTAAATTTGGAATTAGCATACTCAGAATGGAGCTAACTACATTTATGTGAGTGAGGAATGATGCCATCATATTTAATGATCATGATGACATCATCCATCACTCACATACAACAATTGGATATATCCGACTTTTTGGACTACTTATCATTATTATTTGATGATATAATATGATGTATAGGATATATAATACATATGCCACTCTTTTGTTTTTGGATCTTACATGATTACACGTACAAATGTTACAATCTTTAAAACATATATATGTATCTCGTTTATAGTGATAAATTACAATTTTGTACTATACTTTATTTTATATTCAATTATATTCAGTATATATATTAAGCAAATCCAATTTTATTCTATTTCAATCACTAAATATCTTTTTGTATTATATGTATTTGAGCACTTCTATATATTATTTTGATTTCCTTACACTAAATATTAAGTCTCAAGTTCCAATTGAGAAGTTGAATCTTGTTTTTATCTACACAAGTCAAAAAGTATTATTATCATAGTTGAAAATTTATTTAATTACTTACTTTTGTTAGATTCCTAATATAATTATAAAAGTACTATATAAAACTTGTCCCTGCCCTGCCCGTCCCAACCTCGTTTAATAAATGGTTTTGGACACGGGTGAGAGTAGCTATGGCAGAAGTAAAAAGGCATCATTTTTTGAGATTTCCCTTTTTGTCTCTCTTTTTTGCCCTTATCTTCCATATATACAACCAATTGATTTAAAAGTTTTTTTTTTTTTTTTGGATTCAAATTACAGGGTTTGAGAATACAGGAAGGGCATGTTGTGCCACTGGGAGGTTTGAGTTGAGCTTCTTATGCAACGAACTCGATCCAACAACATGCCAAGATGCATCTAAGTTTGTGTTCTGGGATTCTTTCCATCCTACTGAGAAAACAAACCGTCTCATCGCTGAAACTTTGGCTAAAACTGGATTGAAACAGTTCTTTTGATTTCTTACAATGCTTAAAAGTGGCTGTGTTGATTTTTTTTGGTTGAAAGCAAATAACTTCCACAATACTTTTGAGATAGTTGAACCCTCTACTTTTTGTTTTGAAAGAAGAGCAGATACCGTTACACCAGAAGCTCAGTGACAGTTGATTTTCATTTGTATTATTAATTAGTTTTGTTGTTACCATTGCTAATATATTCATTATTAGCTTTGGTTAGGTGTTTCTTCAGACAATAAATACATTTAGTTTGATGTTGATTATAAAACAAGATGCATGAATAAGATTGGATTATTATGCCAAGTGTTTGAGAGTATCAATCAATTAGAAAAAATTTAGTCGAAAATCTAATTCCAAATTCAAAAATGTGACAAAGAGAAGCTGTTCAATCCTTTCCAATGAACTCCAAAAGACTTGCCAGAATACTTATACTATGTTTCGTTGGAGAGAATGATTAAGGAGGGCTGGATGAGATGAGAATTGAAAGAACATTTTCGTGTTTGGTTGGAGGAAAGGGAAGAGAGGGATGAAGCATCCATCCTTCCTTTGTAATTTTCTATCCACCCCAAATTGGGAAAAAAAAAAAAACTAATAATTATTAAGTAATTTACATTTTTATTCTTTCTAAGAATTTGAAATGAATATATAATTTTTATAATAATATATATAATAAGGGTTTATTAGTAAAAAGAATATAAAAATTCTCTTTCCCTCCCTTCCAACCAAAAAATAAAATAAAATGTTACCTTATCTATCATTTCTACTATCCATTACATTCAACCAAATAAAAAGTGTGAATAAACATTCTCTTCCCTAGGATGCCTCATTCATCCCTCCCCCTCTTCCTTCCATCCATTTTTCCATCCCTCCAATCAAACAGAACATTAACATCGTTACTTCAACACTCAAAAAGAAAAATAAAATAAAATTTTCCTCTTCTTTTCTTCAAATGATATATCTATTTTCATGCTTCCGTGTTTCACCATTTTAATTAGATGTATTGCACCAACTTCTCTTTTTTTTTTCGGTAAGTAAGCACCAACTTCCCTTTGAATTTTAACCAATCATATTTTCCAGTTTGTGACTCGTTCTAGTCAAACTTCACCGTCTCTAATTAGATGTATTCTGGGAAAAAAAAATAGATGCACTCACTAACTTTCTTTCTAATTTTCATCAATCGGCATTTCGGCTTTGTAAATTGTTCTAATTTAGATTTTACCTTTTTTAATTGAATGTATCACCAATCACATTTTGAATTTGTGGACTGCTTTTATTCAAACTTCTCCATTTTTAATTGAATGTACAAACAAATTGTGTTTCGATTTTTCATCAATCTCAATTTGATTTTGTGAACTGTTCAAATTTGCACCAACACATAATTTGAGTTTTGGTAAAATTCAGTGGTGAACGGTGGAATCGAACTGAAATGCAGAACACTGATTTAAATTTAAGTGTCATCAACCTTCAAAATAGTAGAAACATTTTGAGAAAGAGTTATATAAAAATATAGAGAACCATAACAAATCAAGAATAATGGAAAAGTCTCACTGCTTGTCATAAATTTTCCAAATTGTATGCATTCAAAGGAATATTAATTTTACAGATATAATACAGCCCTCAAGAAGGCGCAAACACTAAACACAGGAAATTATGAAACTTTGATCCCTCTCTCTGAACCAATTTTCTCATGAGTGGATGGATGTGAGGACTTGAGTTTTCAAAGAGAAAAAGTGGGTGTGCATGTTTCTTACCATATAAAAGCCAAACTTGGACATTTTAAAGTATCCTCAACACAACTTTTCAACATATTTTCAGTTCATTGGCTTGGGCATGTTTGGGAATTGTTTCTGCTTTGTGTATTACAGCAGAGCAAAACATGGAAGCATGTTTGACAACGTTTGTTATGATTTAAATAATATTGAAATGTTTTTGAAAAAAAGGCTAAAATCAAAAGTATCAAATTGGTGTTTCCTGTTGCTCCATATTGTACCAGAAACACTGTAGTGATGAACAATACCAAAAAAAAAAAACTCTTAAATTACCTTTTTAACTATGCAGAACAATGCTTGCCTCAGGCCGCATAAGTAGGAATGTCCTTCTAATGCTGATATGGATCAATAAAAATATGATATGTGTCAATTAAAATTTTAAAAAAAATGTTTGGATCTTTTTGTGGATCATCCAAAAGGAAAGATTTTTTTTCCCTAATGTGTTTGAGATTTTCTATTCCAATCCCTTCATATTGTAATCCGCAGAAGACTAGAGTTATGCTATTTATTAATTGGTGGCTTTAATCATCTCTAAAGATTGGATGGAAAAGATTATGATTTGGGAATGGAGGAGGTGCAAGCAATGGAGATCGGAAAGCAGTGAAGGTGGTGGAGGTCGGTTGGCGGAAGAGAGGATTAATATTAGGATTTCAGAATTGGGGAGATGGTGGGCATCAATGGGGATTTAGTGGGAACAGAGAAGGAGAATCGTGAGTTAAAGAGAGAGAGAGTCCACTACCAAGTCTCACACACGTGAGAGAAAATTTTTTACCTTTTTGGATGACTTAAAGAAAATATCTTAATAATTCAAGTTTAATTTTTTTAATTTTTTTTACACTTGTCATATTGTTATTGGTTCATATCAACATTAGAAAGAAAACCCTACTTATGCGGCCTAATGCAAGTTATTTCCTTATACTTTTATCTTATTAATGAAATACATTCACAATACATAATTTCATTTTTATCAAAGAGTGGGGACATTTTGGCTGAAGTGTCAAATCAAAATTTTTGACCTAAATCTTTTTTATCAACCTTCCTTATATTTTTTATAAGAAAAATGATTCTTGCACGGATTTGTTGCAATGAATTGACAAATGTATTTATTTTAATTGGTGTATTTATGTAATAAATAAAAAAGTGGAGCCCTTTACTCGGTATTTATGAGTAAAAGTGACATTCACGATACATAATTTCATTTTTATCAAAGAGTGGTGACATTTTGGCTGAAGTGTCAAATCAAATTTTTTGACCTAAATCTTTTTTATCAACCTTCCTTATATTTTTTATATGAAAAATGATTATGGGCCTAAAAATTATTTTCCGTTTCAAATTTAAAATCTTAAATTATGAGGCGAATCTCAACAGACATTGGTTGGCTTTCTATAAACTCCAAAGACCTCCTTGGCGCTTATCGCGAATTTCTCATTACCATAAGACATTTCTGAAAGAAGAAAAAAAACAGAGAAAAACAAAAATGACTTACAAATATATTATTCCATGGGTCATGATGGCCCAATGCTTCATACTAGTCACTACTAGTAATACAAGCAAAGTTCCGGCCATCATCGTGTTCGGAGACTCCTCCGTTGACGCAGGCAACAACAACTTCATCCCGACGATTTCCAGGAGCAATTGGCCGCCTTATGGTCGCAACTTTCCTGGTGGTAAGGCCACTGGAAGGTTCTGCAATGGTAAAATTCCACCAGATTTCATTTCCGAGGCATTTGGGCTTAAGCCAACTGTGCCACCATACTTGGATCCAAAGTGTGATATATCAGACTTTGCCGATGGAGTCTCCTTTGCCTCTTCTTCCTCTGGCTTTGACACTGCCACTTCCAATTTGCTAGTAAGCCCCCTTGTCACGCCTTAAGTTCACAAGCCCCGAGATTTATTAAATGATTCATTTTTTCTTTAAAAAAAAATATCTCGATTCATTGGCTAAATAAAGAGACATCACGTTTCATAAGAATACTCTTTATCGAAATCCATTTAAAGTAATGCTACATTTAACTATAGATTGAAAGTGTATTAAATAATTGTTTTAGCTATGTTAAAATGCATATTTATTTTTTTATCATATTATAAAATCTCTTCAAATGTTTAGGAAAATTACAATTTAGTGATTGGAAAATTATATTTACAATCACTCTGTTTTGCAGAGAGTGTTATCTACATGGAAGCAAGTGGAGCTCTATAAGGAGTATCAGAAGAAGCTGAGAGGCCATGTTGGAGAGAAAAAGGCCGACTACATAATAAGTGAGGCGTTGTATGTTATAAGCATGGGAACAAATGACTTTCTTTCGAACTACTATCTAAATCCACTCGTTCAAGTTAGATACTCTATTGACCAGTACCAAAATTTTATCATCGGAATAGTTGAAAATTTGCTTAGGGAACTACATAATCTCGGAGCTCGGAAAATTTCCATTGTAGGGCTTCCACCAATGGGGTGTTTGCCATTCGAGAGAAGTACGAATATATTCAGATTGAAAGGCGATACGTGTGTGGAGGAATACAACATGGTGGCTATGAGTTTCAATTCCCAGCTGAATACTTTGTTGCAAAAGCTGAACAAGGAAGTTCCTGGTATTAGGTTGGTGTACGCAAATTCTTATGACCTTTTATGGGACTACATCCATGATCCTGCCAAATACGGTAAGTTATATTTTACATTGATTTTGATTATGATGAGAAATAATACAGAGTTTGAGAATCAGACACATCTAACTATATTTATGTGAGTGGGGAATGATGCCATCATATTTAATGATCATGATGACGTCATCCATCACTCACATACAACAATTGGATATATCCGACTTTTGGATTACTTATCACTATTCTATGATGACATATAATATAATGTATAGGATATATAGTACATATGCCACTCTTTTGTTTTTGGATCTTATATGATTACACAAATGTTACAATCTTTAAAACATATATCCCCATTGGGCCAAAGGGCCTTTTGGTACATATAGCACAACTTTGTCTACGTGAAGAGTACATGAACAAATTAATAAAATAACATGCTTACATTAAAAATAAAATTGTTTTCCTAAAATGAGGTTCTAAAAGCAATATTTTTTACTTCTTTAAAAAACCAGCAGGACTTACATATGGGTAACCAAACCCCACATTTTTTCAAAAAAGTATCTGAAACTTGGAAGGGTTTTTGTGGGTTCAAAAAGCTCCCCTAAATTATTTTTTAAAAATAAAATCAAAATGTATGAAAGGCATGATGACTAGAATTTGAGTTTAATTTGATTGGTGAAACTCTTATGGGTGTTTGGTGTAGGGATTGCAAAATATTCGGTCCATTGGGTATTTGTCTCACCCGTTTAGAACGATTATGGGGGTGGTTAAATTATTTTGGGACAGGAATGAAGGTTAAAATTGAAAACCTGCATGATTATGGGGCGGGAATGAAGGTCACCCCGCCCGTTTATAATGATAAATTAAAATTTTGTGTTTATACTTTATTTTATATTCAATTATATTCCGTATATATATTAACCAAATCCAATTTTATTCTATTTCAATCTAAATATCCTTTTGTATTATACGTATTTGAGCACTTCTATATATTATTCTGATTTCCCTACACTAAATATTAAGTCTCAAGTTCCAATTAAGAAATTAAATCTTGTGTTTATCTGCACAAGTCAAAAAGTATTATTATCGTAGTTGAAAATTTATTTAATTATTTACTTTTGTTAGATTTGTAATACAATTATAAAGGTACCCTATAAAACTTCTCCCAGTCCCAACCTCGTTTAATAAATGGTTTTGGACACGGGTGAGAGTAGCTATGGCAGAAGTAAAAAGGCATCATTTTTTTAGATTTCCCTTTCTGTCTCTCTTTTTTGCCCTTATTTTCCATATATACCACCATTTGATTTAAAAGTTTTTTTTTTTTTTGGATTCAAATTACAGGGTTTGAGAATACAGGAAGGGCATGTTGTGCCACTGGGAGGTTTGAGTTGAGCTTCTTATGCAACGAACTCGATCCAACAACATGCCAAGATGCATCTAAGTTTGTGTTCTGGGATTCTTTCCATCCTACCGAGAAAACAAATCGTCTCATCGCCGAAACTTTGGCTAAAACTGGATTGAAACAGTTCTTTTGATTTCTTACCATGCTTAAAAGTGGCTGTATTGATTTTTTTTTTTTTTTTGAAAGCAAATAACTTCCACAATACTTTTGAGATACTTTTAAAAGTGGCTGTGTTGAATTCTACTTTTTGTTTTGAAAGAAGAGGAGGTACAGTTACACCAGAGAACTCAGTGACAGTTGATTTTCATTTGTATTATTAATTAGTTTTGTTGTTACCATTGCTAATATATTCATTATTAGCTTTGGTTAGGTGTTTCTTCAGACAATAAATACATTTAGTTTGATGTTGATTATAAAACAAAATGCATGAATAAGATCGGTTTATTATGCCATAAGTGTTCATTTTTCTTCATCTTGAAGTTTTGTGTTTGACAGTATCGAATCAATTAGAAAAAATTTAGTCAAAAATCTAATTCCAAATTCAAAAATGTGACAAAGAGAAGCTGTTCAATCCTTTCCGATGAACATTACACATTTTTAAATTCCTTTTTTTTTTTTTTTTTTGAAAGGTAACTCCAAAAGATTTGCCAGAATACTTATACTATGTTTGATTGGAGGGAATGATTAAGGAGGGCTGGATGAGATGAGGAATGAAAGAACCTTTTCGTGTTTGGTTGCAGGAAAGGGAAGAGAGGGATGAAGCATCCATCCTTCCTTGTAATTTTCTATCCACCCAAAATTGAAAAAAAAAAAAAAAAAAAAAAAAAAGGATAACTAATAATTATTAAGTAATTTACATTTTTAACCTTTCTAAGAATTTGAAATGAATATCTAATTTTTATAATAATATATATAATAAGGGTTTATTAGTAAAAAGAATATAAAAATTCTCTTTCCCTCCCTTCCAACCAAAAAAAAATGTTACCTTATCTATCATTTCTACTATCTATTGCATTCAACTAAATAAAAAGTGTGAAGAAACATTCTTTTCCCTAAGGATGCCTCATTCATCCCTTCCCCTCTTCCTTCCATCCTTTTTTCCATCCCTCCAATCAAATGGAGCATTAACATTGTTACTTTTTGGGTTCAACACACTAGAAAGAAAAATAAAATAAAATAAAATTTTCCTCTTCTTTTCTTCAAATGTATATATTTACATACACATACACACATATATATATATATATATATATATATATATATATCTCTATTTTTATGCTTCGGTGTTTCACCATTTTAATTAGATGTATTGCACCAACTTCCTTTTGAATTCCAGTCAAACTTCACCGTCTCTAATTAGATGTATTCTGGGAAAAAAAAAAGATGTATTCACTTTCTTTCTAATTTTCATCAATCGGCATTTCGGATTTGTAAATTGTTCTAATTTAGATTTTACCTTTTTTAATTGAATGTATCACCAATCACATTTCGAATTTGTGGACTGCTTTTATTCAAACTTCTCCATTTTTAATTGAATGTACAAACAAATTGTGTTTCGATTTTTCATCAACCTCAATTTGATTTTGTGAACTGTTCAAATTTGCACCAACTCATAATTTGAGTCTTGGTAAAATTCAGTGGTGAACGATGGAATCGAACTGAAATGCAGAACACTGTGATTTAAATTTTAATGTCAATAACCTTCAAAATAATAGAAATATTTTGAGAAGAGTTATATAAAAATATAGAGAACCATAACAAATCGAGAATAATGGAAAAGTCTCACTGCTTGTCATAAATTTTCCAAATTGTATGCATTCAAAGGAATATTAATTTTACAGATATAATACAGCCCTCAAGAGGGCAAACACTAAACAGAGGAAATTATGAGACTTTGATCCCTCTCTCTAAACCAATTTTCTCCAAAGTGGATGAATGTGAGGGTTTGAGTTTTCAAAGAAAAAAAGTGGGTGTGCGTGTTTCTTACTAAAAGTATCCTCAACACAACTTTGCAACATATTTTCAGTTCATTGGCTTGGGCATGTTTGGGAATTGTTTCTCTATGTGCATTATAGCACAGCAAAACACGTAAATATATTTGATAACATTTGTTATGATTTAAATAGTATTGAAATGTTTTCGAAAAATAGGCTAAAAATCAAAAGTATCAAATTGGTGTTTCCGATTGCTCCATACTGAACCAAAAATACTGTAGTGATGAACAATGCCCAAAAAAAAAAATTAAAAAAAATCTTAAATTACCTTTTTAACTATGTAGAACAATGCTTGCCTTAGGCCGCATAAGTAGGAATGCCCTTCTATGTTAACATGGGCCAACAAAAATATGATACGTGTCAAATTTTTTTTAAAATAATTAATAAAAATTATTGGGATCATTTTCTGGATCATCCAAAAAGAAATTTTTTTTTTTCTTTATGCGATTGAGATTTTCTATTGCAAACCCTTCATATTGCAATTGGTTACCGAAGAAACTAAACAATTAGCCCAAATAAAATATATTAACCACAATTGTAAGACTCCAATTATCAATAGAGTTTAAGAAAATTTTGTTTTAGTTAATATCTAGTTTAGTTGTTACAATATCAATCTTACTATTATACTTTTATCTTATTAATGAAACACATTCACAATACATAAATTCATTTTTATCAAAGAGTGGTGACATTTTGGCTGAAGTGTCAATCAAATTTTTTTGACCTAAATCTTTTTTATCAACCATCCTTATATTTTTTATATGAAAAATGATTCTTGTACCGATTTGTTGTAATAAATTAACAGATTTACTTATTTTAATTGGTTCATTTATACAATAAATAAGAGAGTAGGCCCCTTTACTTACTTGTATTGTGCATAAATAACCAATCAAAAATTTTCCATGATATATTTTAATGCTACAAATCGATACAAATATCACCACTCTTTTGGCATAACCAATCAAAATTCATCATCTCACTTTTAATTAATGGGCCTAAAAATTATTTTCCTTTTCAAATTTAAAATCTTAAATTATTAAGGGGTAAAGTATAGCTACACCATGAGGTTTGGCAAAAGGACACTTAGAGGAAATTTACTTATTTTTTGACAAAAACACCCCTTGAAGGTTCAAAAATAGACAAAGACACCCCCTTTACATGAAAAATTGACTAAATTACCCTTTGACCGTTGATGAGACTTTTTTAACTTTACCATTTAATAAATTGGACCAATCTACCCTAATGAGCAATTTATGCATAAAAAAAAAAAAAAAAAAAAAAAAGCTTAAAAAAATAACCACCTTAGACGTTTGAGAATGCATTTGAGATAAGAAGAGATGTAGTATTTTCTTTTATGTTGGGAAATGTATAATATTTGATATATAATTTAAGATGCATGAAGTTATACTGATATTATATTTTTTATTTTTAAAGAAAAAAGATTGGTTTAATTTTTTTAAATGAAAGAATTAAGCATTTTAATTTAAAAATTAAAAAGAAAAAAAAAAGTAATAACAAAATATAATTTATTTAAAATATATGTATTGGATCAAAAAATCATTTTAAACGTCTACATTTTGGTTAAACAATAATTTGATCAATTCCTAATGTAAAGGGATGTCTTTATTTATTTTTTTATTAAACTTCAAATGGTGTAACTATACTTTATCCGTTATTAGGCAATCTGAACAGAAATTGGTTGACTTTTCTATGGATTCGAAAGACCTCCTTGGCGCTTGTCGCGAATGTCTCGTCACCATCAGACATTTCTGAAATTGACTGTGTCTTACTATTGGCCATTGGCTCATAGTTTTAATGTAACTTTAGCCATTAATTAATTGACCAAAACAAACCTCTGTCACTTCAACAACCATTAATTTCTCATTTCTAACCTCTATAAATGTCTAATTATCGCTTCATCATTCTCATAGGACACTTTGTTATGCAGATTGGTTATTAAAATTAAACACGGAATTTTTTTTTAAAAAAATGGCTAATTACATATGTATTTCATGGCTCGTGATGGCCCAATGCTTCTTCATACTAGTCACTACTACTATTGCACATGTTCCGCGCAAACCTCAGCCCAAAACTCCGGCCAAATCACAGCCCAAAGTTCCGGCCATCATCGTGTTCGGAGACTCCTCTGTTGATTCTGGCAACAACAACGCCATTCCCACGATCCTCAAAGCGAATTTCCCGCCTTATGGTCGTGATTTTCCGGGTGGTAGGCCCACCGGAAGGTTCTCCAATGGTCGCATTCCTCCGGATTTCATTTCGGAAGCTTTTGGGCTTAAGCCAATTGTGCCAGCATACTTGGATCCGGAGTATAATATATCGGATTTTGCTACTGGTGTTTGCTTTGCCTCTGCTGGCACAGGCTATGACGTTGCCACCTCCAATGTGCTAGTAAGCCCCTTGCTTATACACATGTTCGTAAATTTATGTTATTGTTGAATTGAAATATTTATTAAATAATTTATTTAACTTTTTTAAAAAATAATTTATTCCGTGCTTCTTTTTTTTTCTTATATATATATTATATTGTTCTTTATCAATATCTCATCATTTCCGTCATTATCATTACCTCAATCTCATATATATGAAGATGGATAACTGAGAAATATGATATTGACATCACTTTCTTTCATTTCAATTGTTTTTGTATTTTTTTTCTTCTCTCTTAAGAAAATGACTTATTTATCCTCTCAAAGTAAACTCACTCAGCAAGTTTTAAAAAATAAAATAAAATAGCACTTACATTGTAAGTGTAATTATTATTTTTCCAATTTGAAACTACTTTATATTGTTATTTTTTCAATATGAAATTACTTTATATTATTATTTTTTCAATATGAAACTACTTTAGTTCCAAAAAAAAAAAAATTATGAAACTACTTTAGTAATCCAATTAGTAATTAATTGTTATTTGGTGATATTTAAGACAAAATTAAGACATTTTTATGGTTACTTTTATTTTTTTACAATACTATGACCGTGACATTTTTTTTAATCATTAGTATGATTATTGTGTTTGGACCTCCAGTGTATTAAAGAACTCTAGTTCTAATTTCAGTTTTATAATTATTTAAAATCTAGGCCCTTGACCCAAATATAATATTGATTTTAAGGGTAAACTATAATACCTCCTCTAAACTTTGGCCTAATTATAAATAAACTTAAAGTTTTTTGCAACGTGTTTCCTTCGATTTTGCAAAGACCCCACCCCCCCAAAAAAACCAAGTACTTTTTGTCAGAAAATTGGTCGAAGTGACCAAAGTGCCCTTCAATTAAGTGGAAAAAAAACACCTTATTACCCTTATTGTGTCTTCAAATTACCAAAAAAAACTTAATTTTTACCTAAGTTTTTCAATTCTACTTTTGTGACTACCACCATATATGGATGGTCCTCTGCATTATGCTATACTCCTTATTCCTACTAAATTACATTAATGCTTGTATGGAATTGACACCAATTCCAAGTACTAATTCCAACTCCAAAACATCAATTTCATATAACCGAAAATAATAGAAAGCTATAAAGTATGGATATTTCTACGAGAACAACATACCCATAGCGGATTCATGTCAGATATCAATACTCCTCGAATACTCACGGATACGTGTCTGATACTCCCTAAACATATTCATAATTTTAAAATATATTTTTTAATTTCTAACACGTGAATGATACTTCTTAGATACTTTATAACACATTTTTAACAAGTTTTGAATATTAAAATATAACTTTTTCAATATTAATAACATAGTATAAATGTTAAAAAGGTTAAAAATTTATTAAATGATGACTAGAAATACATGTTTTATATGTTGTGAAAGGAATTGTTATGTTAAATTAATGATTGTATTTAGATTCATGATGAAACCCATACATTTTGTATATAAAAAATATATTTTTAATTTTTCTTTTTGTCATATCCCGCTATACCCGTATCCTATTTTTTTTAAAAAAAATTACGGCATCGTCGTATCCGTACTTTATCGTATCTGCACCCCATATCCGTATCCATACTTCCTAGACAGCAAACTTTATAATTAATATAGTTCGAAGTTTAAACTAAATTCTTAAATTCCAAGGCACAAATACCATACAACCGAACACAACAGAAAGCTTTATAAATATGAATATTTATTTGACAGACATAAACATTTTGTTTCATTGATCGAATTCATAATTGGGTAATGCTATGTACCAACTAAACTGATGCATTTTGGATGATTAATGTTTGGCAATGCAGAAAGTGATTCCTCTGTGGAAGGAATTGGAATACTTCAAGGATTATAAGAAGAGGCTGAGAGCCTTGTTGGGGGACCAGAAGGCAAACTATATAATAACAGAGGCTCTGTATGTGATGAGCATTGGAACAAATGACCATCTTGAGAACTACTATCTTAATCCACTTATGCAAGCCAGATACTCTATTGACCAGTACCAAGATGTACTTGTTGGAACTGCTGAAAATTTCCTCAGGGAACTCTACAATCAAGGAGTTCGGAAATTTTCCCTCGGAGGGATCCCACCAATGGGGTGTTTGCCATTAGAGAGAAGCACAAATATAATCAGATTAAGAGGTGATACATGTGTGGAGAAATACAACATGGTGTCTATGAGTTTCAATGCCAAAATCAGCAGTTTGGTGCCAAAGCTAAACAAGGAGCTTCCTGGTTTTAGATTGGTCTATGCAAATGTTTATGACCTTTTCTGGGAATACATCCATAGCCCTGCTGACTATGGTAAGTCACATTTTCAATTCACTACATGATGGTATGATATAATATTTACAATATATAATGCATCTAAAAAAAGGGGGGTTTAGTCCCATACATGAGACTCCTATCGTACTCCTATCATTACGGAGTCTCGAGAGAGCCAGATGTAAGCAGCCTTGCTTTCAGGCTGTTTGCAGTTATATTTGATTTCAGGCTGTTTATAACTTTTATATTTTTAAAATAAAATTAATATATAAAAGGCATGCCACAGATATTGTTTGTGATTTTTCTTTCTTTTCTTTTCTGTTTTTTTTTTTCATACAACTGATTGATTTAAAAAGTACTAATTATTATTATTTTAAAAAAAATTACAGGGTTCGAGAATACAGGAAGGGCATGTTGTGCCACTGGGAGGTTTGAGATGAGTTTGTTATGCAACCAACTCAATCCATTAACATGCGCAGATGCAAATAAGTTTGTGTTCTGGGACTCTTTCCATCCTAGCGAGAGAACAAACAAACTCATCTCGGAAACTTTGCTTAAAACTCAATTGAAACAGTTCTTTTGATTTCTTGCAAAGCATGGTGCCTAATTACAGGACGTACCAAAAGTGTCTTTGTCGATTTTATTTGCCTTCTATTTTCATAGCAAATAACTCGGAGAGTTTAACCCTTTACCTTTCGCTTCGAAAGGAAAGGAGATACCATTAGGTCATAAGCATTGCTGGCTTTGTAGATTTTCAATTGTATTATTAATTAGTTATGTTATTACCATCGCTAATATATCATTATTAGCTTTGGTTAGGTGTCTAATTGGTTTCTTCTTATGATAAATATACAGAGCCTGTTTATTCAGTTTGATGTTGATCTTAAAACAGAATGCTTGAACAAGGTTAGATGATTTTGCCATGTTGAGCTAAATTTTTGTGTTTGAGATTGTTCGTATAAAAAAAATCTTGCCGTGTTAGTGTGGATAAATTTCATGTTCAGGTGAGTAAGAGATCATTACCATGTGTGTGTATATGTATATATATATATACACACAACTAAATTCTCATGACAACTATGTTGCAAGGACAAAGAAGTCATGCCCCACCAAATCTCATGTTCACCGATGAGCAAGAGATCATTATTGTGGTGTCTGACAACTAAATTTCCATGGCAACTCTGTTGCAAGGACAAAGAAGTCATGCCCCATCAAGTCATGCCCCATCAAGTCTCATTCTCATCGGTGAGCAAGATAATGATATATATACACACACACACATACATACACAGTGTCTTGACAACTCTGTTGTAAGACAAAGAAGTCATGTCCCATCAAGTCTCATGATTTATGTAACTTTCAACAATTTTTTTTTTTTTTTTTTTAGTTGGTACTCACACACGTGCAAAAACTGTTAACTTCTTTTTGAAAAGTAATGACTTGATACCGCTATGCCACGGCCATTGGCAACTTTCAACAACTTTCTTGTGCGACAAATAAATACACACAAAAACGTGAGTTGGAGGGTGGAATTGAAGACAATAATTCCTCTCTTTTTGACAAAATTCAGATTTGATGTATGAGCTTGTGTGTTCATAGGAGTCTTCATCTAACATTTGACAAACACATGAAAATTATTAATGCTGTTGAAGAAAACTGATAACATTAACTAAGGGGTGGATGTTCACATTAATTAATGTCAATTTTTTGAAAAGCATTTGAGACCACATAGCAAGAGTATATGAATAAGTCATACTCAGTGGAAATGGTCAGCTCCATTCATTGAATTCTAAACAACTTTTCTTTTCTTTTTTTCTTTCTTTTTGTTATGTATTTTTCAATATAGTTATGATCAACCTTTATACTTGGCTAGCCCATTTTCAAGGCTATTCCATTAACCAAGTCATTAATTTGGAACTCAAAAGATATTGTAGAAATTTAACTTTCTCATAAAAAATTCCCTACAAAAAAACACATAAAAATATGAACTTCATGATATTCAAAGCATAAAAAAAAAAAAAATTTCTTTTTTCTTTTTTCTTTTTTTTTAAAAAAAAAAAAATTGTCATGCTAATCAACTACATGATGAAAAATTGATTTTACTTTTACTCACTTCACTTTCTTTTACGATCACTTCCATTATTAATTTTCATCCAACCAGCAAAATTGAATAGCAAAATTACCATTCCACTTTTAACTCTCTTCTGTTCTCTTGATGCGTATAATGCAAATAAGGTAATTAAATACAAGCATATCACAATTTTATGATAGTACAGGGCTTTTAGACTGTCAAGATTACTTTGAAGCTATATTCGACTGCGTGAAATTGAAGAAAATTTTAGTTCAATTTTCTGTAACTTTGAACTAAACTTTTTTTTCTAATTCCACCAATTCCAATTCCAATTCCAATACTCTAATTCTACCATTTCTAATTCCATTCAGCCGAACATAGACTAAATAATAAGTATTATATTGCACTATTATGGAAAAGGGTCATAAATGCCCTCCAATTCCACCAATTCCAATTCCACCAATTTTAATTCTATTAGCCGAACATAACCTGAATATTTCTTCCGTCTCAAAAAAAGTCTCTTTTGAAAAACCGTGACTGTTTAATTTGTGAAAGTCACGGTTCCCCAAAAAAAATACTCTTTTTGAAGTTGAGGGAGTATTAAGTATAATAATATCACACGATTATGGAAAAGGGGGCATTAAATCATGGCCTCCATTTCTGCTGGAAAGCTTTGATCATTGACCTGAAACTGACATGAACTTATCATTTTCCCTGGCCACTGCAACTACATGACCTCTCTCTCTCTCATCTGTTTTTGTTGTTCTTTGTATTGATGGTTGGATGTAGAAAATGATAGAATGAAGCACTTAATATTGAGCCTAATCCTTAAAAATATTTCAACGAAATTGATGAGAGATCTTCAATGGGGTTGAACTTCCACCTACTTGGCTTGGCTTCAAACTTGTAAATGACATATCATTATCAAAATTTCCTTCCCCTGACAACTTGAATCATATCAGACTGTTCAACTACCTCCTCTATGACATGGTGCTTTCGTCTAAAGTATATTCTCTCAACAATAACAAGCAAAGCCTTTTCTTAATTATTCAGGGTAGGTGAAATGGGCGGGCGTTTATCCATTTACCCAAAAAGTCGAATTGCGCCCACTCATTTATGTCCAATCACTTTCCCATCCGATTCTGATATGGGACAAATGACCATTGTTACATTCTCCCCCACCTAAACTCGCAACGCTCTCATTGCGGTTCGGGCCACCTTGCCTACCCGGAGTGCTAATCCGGACGAGCGCTTTGCGTGACACCGGATCAAAGACTGGGTTTGGCACTGATACCAACTGTAGCGGGTGAGCGTTTACCCATTTACTCAATAGCTCGAACTATTGGATAGTGATGCATACCTACCCATTTATACCCAATCACTTTCCCATCCGATTCCAATGTGGGACAAATGACCCTTGTTACAGTAGGCTACATCGAAGTCTTAAATTTCTTTTTACCCATTTATGCGTTCACCTCAAAATTAATAGTTAATCTTACAGCTACCAAGAAATTTTGTTGTTTTAAAACTACATATATATATATATATATATATATATATATATATATATATAATAGAGGTTTTAGGTTGAAACTGAATCATAGGCAATGGTTGTCATAAGAATGACATAATCCTTCAAAGAGGTACAAAAGACAATCCTCACGAATTATATTCATGTTTGGTATTATGGAATTGACGTCTTAAAATAATTAGTTTAAAGTTTGAATTCGTTTTTATCCAAATCCAATTACATGCTACCTAATTAGATTAAAGTTTGAATTAGTTTTTATTCAAATCCAATTACATGCTACCGAACATAGAATCAATACTATGCTACCGAACATAGAATCAATTTTTTTCACAAAGTTTTCAGAAAAACCTTGAGCATTGCTAGGAACAATAGTACTTCAAATATAGTGCCTTTGACACTGCTTGTTGGGCTTTACAAAGCTTGCGTATGCTTCTCAACTTCCAGATTACTGATCCACTGCTTGTTGGGCTTTTCAAAGCTTGCGTTGGCTTCTCGTGTATGCGATGATGTATGGCTCATTTAGTGGGCTGTGGAGAATTGGTTAGTGGCCCGTGGCTTGTGCAGGCCTCCCATAAGGATAATATCTCTCTCTCTCACACACACACACACACACACACAAAACAACAACAACAACAACTTACATAGATGAGTGAATTGCCCACACCCAGAGCCAATTTGTTGGATCTTATTCCCTTTTCTCTCTGATTACAATCTAATAAAGCATAAACCTTAAATTATCAATCAGCTCTGTCTGTGACAGAAGTAAACAACTATGCATTTTGGGATACCTTCATCCAAAGCTCGAGAAAACAAATCATACAGTCAATCACCCCCCCCAGACATCTACTTCCTGGAAAGCCTACTAAAAATTGCAGACCTTGCACCAAGATCAGAGCTTCTGCTACCCCTGCAATGGCAACATGGTTTTGAAAGAAGAAGCTACTTTCAAGACACGACACTCTTTCAAGACACAACACTCCATGACCCATCGAATGGCATACATATATCATAGAAAGATGGCATTTGTTTATTGATAATCCGATTTCCTAACCCAAAATTCTTTGAACTTAACCATATCGTGCTCATAACATTCATCGTCTGACCATACAGTTTTTCAATTTGGAGAAATAACTCACTGAATATAGTAACATTCAAGTCGGTCAAGATGCAATGGTCATAATCAACTAAATAAAGAAATAGACATATTGCTCATGACATCAAAATCATTTCTGGATGGGATTTCGTTCTTGTTCCTCTAATGTTTACTCTCAGATGATTACAACTCATCCTTGCTTTTGGTTTCGTCTCCCATAAGTTCTTCCAGGGAGAACTCATCTTCTTCAATGATTTCTCCATCTTTACCATCCCATGGCTCTGACGTCACAATGACGGGTTTGCTGTCTAAAGGAAGATTACCCTTTCCACCACGCCCAGCTTCTTTCACAAACTCTCTGTGAAACCAGACGGAATGTATTTTATGTTTTGCTTCATTTAATACAACTGCATTCAAATGAAAATGGAAACTAAATACTTACGTTATCTGATGAAGCTCGAATGCACTACGAAGTGGCGCATATGCTCCTTTCTTCAAATTCAGGGCCACCAAAGCTGGGTAGCCATAACCACCAACACCTAGGTGCTTCTCGAGATCTGACTGCTTACCTGCAGCCGCCCAAACATAGCTGCAACATATATCAAATCTTACTTTCAGTTAACTTGGACAATAGTCAACACCATTGTGCAACAAAGATATTCACTTTGGAGGTGTAAAAACATATGATATCCAACAAATAAATTTAAGTGCATCAAATATGAATATGAGGAATCTCATGCAAAGAAAAATTAAGAAAATGTTGTCTACAGGAAAAGTAAATTTAATCAAAGGACCCCTGTTTTCTTGCCTGTATGGACTCCTTTTAAACTTCTCTGCCACCGATAACAGCAGCTCTAGATACTTGTTCCTTCCCTCTGCCTTCGAGTCCAAAATGTCAGGAAGGAAGGCAACAAAACAAATGGCAGCTGAACCACACTTATCTTCCATGACATCCTATACAAAAAGATCACAGTAGTTTGTCATTACTTCTATGGTAGTGTTTCACATGAACAGAATCTTTGGTTGGAAAATAAAGCTTACTGGGCCAGTCAACTCCGTCACTTCAGGAGGTGAAACATTTGTTTCTAGCTGTTCTAGAGCAAATGATTCAATTGCTGAGGCAGATCTTGCACCTTCATAAGGGAAGGGACTATCTTTGTCGGCACCAAATACCAGGATTGTGGGGAATCCTTGCACATTGAACCTACTCATTAAAGACTGGTAATTTCACACATTAGAAACATGTCATTTAGTTATGTTTCATCTTCAGAATTTAAATTGTCTGCAATAAGATCACAGCTTGTTTCATAGCTTCAGGGAAAGAGCTTATTCATGAATGAAGTATGTGTTGCACACCTGATGCATATAATTACAAAAAAGGTACTAAAGAAAGTACCAAGAAACCTGGGCAGTATTGTTAACATTCAAAAACTCAGCAGGATCATAAAAGCAAAACTATAACAGCATATAATGGACATCAGCAATTTTATCGAGCTAAAGCTTAAAGTCCAAAGCACAGTTCAGAAAAATTAATTTGGTGATTAATTTTTTACGAACAATTTAAACACAAGACAGAATGTAACTGATGCTGATCGGTTGATGTACCATGTCAATATCAAAATTCAAATATTACCTTCTCTGCATCACAGTCCACATGACCCAGCTTCACCTTGCCCTTCAAGTTTTTAGAAGCCTTCTTCCACTCAGGAGCAAGTTTCTTACAGTGTCCACACCTTTAAAAACAGAAATTGAACGAATTCAATACAAAAGCTAAAAAAACAATAATAATAAATAATAAATCAAAATAAAAAATAACTAACTTAGATTATGTTATGCATATTAAAGCACTTGTGCAATTTACACCCAAACAATAGAACTTACTATCGTACTTATAGCACGTGATTATTTAGAGATCTAAATTCCAAAGATTTAGGCTCTGTTTGTTTGGAAGTAAAATATTTTTTTATTTTCTACTGTTTGGTTGTCGTAAAATATTTACGAAGAAAAAATATATTAAAATTTAACAAAAATAATTTATCCATAAATTTTCAACAAGTTATTTTACATGCCCCGCCCGATGGACTCGACCTCAACCTCGACGTAGATCTTTACCAAACACTGACAAAATAAAAATAAAAGAATATTTTACCTGAAAAAGAAAAATATTTTCCAAAAAGAATATTTTACGTCAAAACAAACGGAGCCTTACTGACATGAATTATTGAGGGAAACTATCAACATTCTATTCAAATAGGACGGTGTAGTTTTAACTTTGCTGATATTTAAAAGGTTATAAGTTCCTGCAGTCTTAAGATTCCACTAAATCTAGGACTCATCACTTGTGGGATCTTGAGGTCCCTATGGAATTCGTTCAAATGCTCTGGTGATACACTTGAAATAGCTTGTGCTGAAAAATCTTACTAAAACCAACGGGCCAGTGGCCTAACAGCATCGGCCTCGGCCTCTTACTTTCCAAAGGGAGGTCGGTGGTTCAAGTCTCAGAAGAGACGTGTGTGTGAGTACCATCTAGGAAAAAAAAATCTTACTAAAGCTTTTGTTAATAATAATAATCTATCTAGAAGTAATTTTGCAAACCTTGCATTAAGTAAGGCATTCAAAGTGCTATTCTATATTAACTGATCTGATGTTTCCATGCATGACAGAAAAAACATCCAGTGAAAACATATATAATTAAAATATTTAATTTTCTTAAAAGCACTTGTGTTATATCCGGACAGTCAATAATCAAATCAACCACCGGTATCTTAAATTATAAAAGAGTACCAGATAAAAAATCCAAAAATATTACCAGTAAACAGTACTTACCAGGGTGCAAAGAACTCCACAATCCAAAGTTCCTTACTTTTAAGCACCAATTCATCAAAATTACTTGAATCCAATACTACTGATGCACTAGGTTCAGATTTCTCACTTGATCCTCCTCCTGATTTTCCACTTAACCTTTCATTCACAAGTGCCCTTACCTGTATACAACAGAAACATTTAGCATTTTCACTTGTAATCACCACTCAATATTAGTAGCAAAGCACAAACCCACGATAGGCCAAGATGGAAGGGTATACTCTCCCCCATTGATCTAGTCAACAGCTATATATGGAATCATATAACCATCAATTGGGTACTCTATGTGCCTCTCATTGCCATGAATTATGTATGCATTTTCAAGTATACTATTTTATGTGATCAATGAATTATGTATGCAACGGCAAGCCTTGGCGCAACAGTAAGGTTGCTCCATTGTGATTTGGAGGTGATCGGTTCGAAACAAGGAACAGCCTCTCCGCATGTGGAGGTAAGGCTGTGTACATCCAGCCCTCCCCAGACTCCGCAATGGCTGGAGCCTTGTGCACTAGGTTTGCCCCCTTTTTTTAATGAATTGTGTATGCATTTTCACATATACTATCTTTAGTTTTAATTTCGTAACAAGGCATGACACTATGGCCTAATGAGAATATCAAACCCCACTTCCCCTCTTCTCTCTTTTACAAGAGACAATTTTCATGAAGTAGCATTTTAAGCAGCTGAGGCCTCTGGCATACCATTCAAAAAAATCTGCGTGGTAGTAAAAAAAGATCGACCCTTTTTCTCCTAACATTAATTAGATGACATAATAGAAATGTATGCCATATATGGAAAATGGACAAAGAAATAGAGCAGAAGGATAGATGAAATTCCAACTACAGACAAGTAACGACAACAACCTGTTGAATTGAAAAGTCTACTATGGGTTTGACATCCCTTGCTCCTTGGTAATCTGCAGGAGGTTTCCCAGGAGCAAACACCTTTATTGTTGGAAATCCTCTAATCCCATATTCCTGTAGGAAACAAAACATAATGCTTTAGAACAGCACGTAAAAATTTAGAAACGCATGCATTCCAACAACATCATCAAAAATTATATTTTAATGGTACTATAGAAAGAAAATATGAAAACTCTGAAACAAGTGCACATTTGTCCATCAACCATTTGTTGGTTGACGAAATGACATTTCATTACAAGCTCTAGATAGTCGTGAGGACATCTCTCTCTCCTCTCACTCTTGCTGATCATCCTTTTTAATCTGACCCAACATTTCCACTACACATGTAAGCATGATCAATTATGTGAACTTCAAAAAGAAATCTTCTATAGCATGTGAGACACAGTCATATTGCAATTATTGACTGCAATTTGAATCTGACCATCATTAAATTGAAGGTTTTATCAAAATCAGTCTCAATAGTATATTTAGGGTGGATATATTAAAATCTACGTCTAAGAATCAAGCCTACATCTTTTGCATGTCATTACCATACCATACCATACCATAGAAGCATTACATGAGCAATAAGAGAAGATCCTATGATAAAAACGAAGGGACAGAGGCTCACTTTGTTCATATTATTATATGTTCATTGTCATATTGAACCTACAACTACCAATCTAGCTACTTCGTATTGTTTCACTTCTTTTATGTGAATGCAGCTTATTCAGTGTTTGTCAACCTCCCAGTATGTCATCACCACCACCGTCCTCAACAATATCACTGTCGCACTCTGCCATAACCACTTCCACTAACAGAAGGTGCCTTTATGATCACTACTTTTTTCTTGTGATTATTTTCTCTACGGTTGATCAACCATGTCGTTACACAAACTACATTCATTGATAACAAGCAAGATGAAGTATATATAAAATCATAATAAGCACAAGGTTTTCAAATAGTTTCTGTATGAAGAAATATCTCAACTATGGAAAACCTGAGCGAGGGACTGGTGAGCATCAGCATCAAGAGCTGCAACAGTGGCAACACCTTTCAAGACAGTAGCCGCCTTTTCCCATATGGGTGTCAGAGCTTTACAGTGACCGCACCAAGGTGCAAAGAACTCAACCAGCACAACACCATTCGAATTTAGAACCTACCACCACCATTCCAAAAAGTTAAAATAAAGCAAAATCAGACAACATTTCAATATCCCATATTCTTCCAAAATATGTTAGTAATAGAAGCAAACTAATTAAGGCAAAAAGCCATTGTATGGTAAGTATGATCAGATCCTTTTATTTTATTCCTTTTCAGTGATACAACAGCAACTAGCACGATACACAGGCATGGAAAAAAAACATTAGTTTTCCTGGTAAATATTAAAATAAGAAATAAAAAATAAAAAACTAATATTTAAATTAGAAAAAAATTAGCAACATTTCTTTAGCTTTTGAGTTTTTCCTGCCAAAGGAGGGCATTGGCACAATCGTAAGATTGTTTTATTGTGTCACAGGTTCAAAATAGGAAACAGTCTCTCCGCATGCGGAGGTAACACTGCGTACATCTGACCCTCCCCAAATTCCGCTGAGCCTCAAGTACTCCTAACCCTTTTTTAGTTGTTCTGCAAATCGGTGCTCATGATCTTTGGTCTCTACCCAGATCCGATGAAAAAGAATGGCATCACTTCTTGTGGGCTCATTGAGAATGCATATTAAATAATAATTTATAATAAATAGATAAATACCCTCTAAAATGATTTTTTACTGGGCCATGAAAAATCAGTTTGCACATATTTTGTCTTGCCCAATCTTCCCTTTGTCATTTGCATCGGTGGTTTTGTGCATACAATCACGCCCACATGCCTAATCTTTTATAGTATCTCATTTACACACTGATACATGATTTTGTGTATAAAAGGTGCGTAATATTATGCATGAGTGCAAAGTGTTATGCACAAGTTTATGCACCTTTGCATAATTTTTTGCACTTGTACCAAACAAAGTTACATGAGTGCAATGTGTGTGTGTCATGGACAGGCACAAATGGTGATTGGGTATTTGGTCATTCCGCATCAAAGCACAGAGTGCAAGATGGGGAGAGAAAATATGGAGAGTATTTTTTGATAAGTATGCAACTCATTGTGAATATTTTTCAAAAGTCCATTTTAGAGGAAAATAACACCATTTTGACTCAATGTCAGTCTAAATATGCCTCCGAGAGTCTATGTATAAAAAAACAATTCCATTTAAATTAAATAAAACAATTTGAGCATTTGAGCCTCCTACAACCCCCTCATGCATATACTTCAAAAAGACATTTATCACAATTACACTGGCAATTAGGAATCCAGGTTTAACATAATTATTTGACACATACACATATTTTAGAATGGAATTTCTGAAAAGAAAAAGGAACAAGTACTAAAATTTCATCACCAAGTTTTATTCGGATCAATAAAATTATTTTTCCTCTCCGCAAAATCACTAATGTATAAATTTCAATCAGAAAAATAAATGTACAACCATGATCAATTAGACCCATTCCAAATGCTGAAAACTAAGATTGCTATAAGAGCAAAATAATTGCACCACTTTAACTTTATGATATGAACCCTTTCCAGAAATATGACAACAGAATCAGATCTAAGGTATATATGAACAATTTAAAACAGACAAAGTAACCACTAATCAAAACTTCAAATACTAATTTGATAAAATAACTATCTCTATGTGCTAAAACGACATCTAATTCGAGGTTTGTATTTGAATAAGGGAGTGGATCTGCTCTTACCTTGGATTTGAAGTTCGAGGGGTTTAGCTGAACAACCGGTGACGATGGTCCGTACAACGCATCGACTCGCGAACTGAGCTCGAAGATTAAGGAGGTCAACAAAAGCGCGATCAACACTTGTGATGATCGATGCATTCTCTCTCTCTATATATATATACTGTATAATTCTCTCTCTAAAAATGTCTGTATCTTCTCGCAAGGGAGTGAACTACTGCAAACTTTCAAAGGGCAGAAGAAAAACCCTTCTGGTTAATTGCTGGACGGAGCTACGTGTGTTCGCCAATCAGAGGAATACACGTCATCGTGCCATGTAATTCTGGATAAATTTGGAGTTCCGTATGTTAGCCAATCATAGGAATACACGTCATCTTGCCACGTAATTCCAGAGAAACTCTTCACGGACAGGGGAGAATATGAAATTTCTGAGCTACCTTCTTGCTTTAGCAACACGTGTACGTAAGAGAGATAGAGAGAACAAATATTTAACATTCAAACTTATCCCATGCATTAATTGTTGATTGATGGTTAAGTCAATTTAATTGTACCTTTTGTAGTAATTTATATTTAGTAGAGCGGTGACTTCGCTTGATTGTAAGATTTTGAAGTACATATTTGCAAAAAATTAGAGTTTCAAATAATAATATGTAATAAATTATTTAAAGTACATATTTGCAAGTATTTCTCTAGTGAATTTCAAACCAATTTCAATAACCAAAATTTTATTTAAATTTATATTTTGTGTGTTAGATATTGAAAATTTTTGAACTCCTTAATTACATTTTACTTCAAAATTTTAAGAGATACAACTTCTTTTTCCGATAATTTAATGTATTTCCGATAATTCTAAATTTTGTTTTTTGAAAAAAAAAAAAACCAAACATCAGTGTAATTTTTTGTCTGTATCATTTAGTCTATGTGTGTACGCATCATTTAGTCTATGTGTGTACGCATAATGTCTTCGACAAAGATAACGGCTATGTTACGTTTGGAACCTGGAATTATCCCATCCTTGCTTCATACTTTCGGTTACTCCTTTTTGGTACTATATATATATATATATACACACACACACACACAACCAAAATATCTCTCTCTCTCTCAACAAACTGGTTTGTAAACTTCCGAAAAAAAACAAACTGGTTTGTAACATCCGAAAACAAAGTCTGCAAACAAATTATAAAACGAAGAAAAAAAACAAGATAAATGAGGCCTCTCTCATTCATTTGAAACCTCTACTTGTCTCTCTCCACAACCAAGGTTCATGAAATAAGCAAAGCCCACAAAACTGCCACACAAATTCCATGTGATGTATATATAAGTACTCACTCCCCCATTAAATATTAATATTATATGTGTGTGCGCGCACTAACACACACACACAGAGAGCTAAAGATTCATGGGGAACAGAGGAGGAGATGACAAGTCTGTGAGAAGGGGAAAGCTTATGGTAAAAATATGTAGAAAGCTAAAGAAGTTGGCATTTCTTGGTAGGAGGAGGTCCAGTGAAGCTGCTTCATTGTCGCCTCCTCAGGCTATTTACTGTGATGAGCTTGTCCTGCCATCAGGAGGAAAGGAAAAGAGTCGCGCCAAATATATCTATGCTGATCCCTCTGTGGCTGCTCATATTGCTGCTCAAAATCATTTCACCATGAGGCCTAACATCTATCTTTGAGAGAAGAAGAAGAAGAAAAAGAAAAAGATCCTCATGTATGTGTATTTCTTTTTCTGATAGATAGCATTTTTAATGATGTTGTAATGGACTTTAATTTGTTCATCTCTCAATTTATGGAAAAAAAAAATGAGAATCTTGAAGCAATTTTTTTTTTTGTATTTTCCTCCATTACTTAATTGATTGCAATCATTTCATGGAAGGATATAAAATCTTTGAGGTTGAAGGTGTTCTTCGATTTACAAATTCATAGATCCGGTAGAAATCATTTGCAATTACTTAAAATTAAGAGTATTATCCGGGTGACCTTACGCCTGTCAATCTCAACTTTTATCATTGCACCAAGCAATAATATTGCTTACCATAACAGGTCAGTGGCCTCTAGTGGTACCGAGTTCCTACTTTCTAAAGGGAGGTCAGTGGTTTGAGTTTCAATAAAAGCATGCGTGTATTAGTACCAACTAAGAAAAAAAATGTTGCCAAACATTGCCTCGAGTCCCCAAGCCCATTCTCATGTCCTACAGTATATGAGGCATGTTACACCTACCAATGGCCTTGTTGTTCAATGTTGTTTTTACTGTTTCTCAAAACTCCGTAATTAAGCATGTTCCAATTTTGAAAGGTCCTCTTGTTGTACCTTTTTATGTCCGATTTACTTTTTTTGTGAGGAAAAAAAAAATTACTGTAACGCATGTGTCAGACAAAGAATAAATCGAAACTTTAAAAAAATAATAAAAACTAGTGTACGGGCTGAAACCCTATTGTGGAGTTGCAAAAAATATCAGCACATTGACTAGCAATGAGAAAATGTTACTATATAGCTGTTTGAGTGATTGGAGATGGAAAATTTTGATATTAAAAACACGAATTGATAATAACAATAATTTAAAAATAAAAAAAAGACGTATATGTTTGTAAAAAAATCCATTTCCAAGAATACAAGAAACACAAATTTTCACTATTTTTTTTTTTTTTTTTGGAAGTTCAAGCAACACACCGGCAATAATACCCTCAACAGGGCTCGAACACTCAACCTCTCCGTTGACCGGAACATATTTTGAGATGCAATTTACTAGTAAGAAGGAAAAAATAAAATACAAGAATCCGCAGTCATTTTTTTTCAAGTCAGCAATGTAATCTGAATTTTTTACTGGTCGATATGAGCAAAAATGTAAACCAAGCATATATGTATTACCCAACACCTGGTTTGTTGCAGATAGTTATAAGAAGTTTAATTGCAGCTACCCTGCCCACTTGAGTCACCAATCTCATTCATCAATTATGTAGGCACAAAACATTGTTTGAATTTATAGTTTTACATTGTTTCTGTACGGATTTCTAAGAAAATAGTTGGAGATTCATGCCAACTGAGGAAAATATGTAACAATCTTATAATTCTAAAATTGTTTCCGTTGAAAAATGACACAGATTTTGCATTTATCTTTCGGACTTCTACAGAAAATGTCAGCGATATACTTCTATTTTTCTTTCGTTGTCCTGTCAAAGAGTGCTCTAATAGTAAACACTTCACAGATTTCAGAAGCATTATCTCGAGCTTCTATATATATTGTCTGCATACTGGCAATAGAAGTAAGATTGAAACACTAGCAGCGAAGTGGCATATGAAAGGAAGGAGAAAAAAAATGCTTTCTCACCCTTTTGGATCAAACTCGTGAAGACCAGACCAATATAGGCGCTGTTACAATAAGATACATATGGATTGTGAGGTACTTGCATTCAGCTGAAATTTAAAAATAAAGAGAAGAGTAGTTGTTAGTCGTTACTTCAGCAAGAATATTATAAGCAGCAGCTCTTGCAATTGGGGAGGGCATCTGGCCAACATAAGCAATTGGGCTGAGCAAGGCAGCTGATCTTAGCATGTTGAACAGTTGGCCTCGCGAAAAGGAAGCCAAAGAAATCAAAGTTCCCTAAAGATTGGAAATTTAGGATATCCATCCACATAAGTCAAATGATTCCTAGAGAAAAACGAGGCAAATAGAACACGTTCATATACATCAAAGTTCCTTACGAAAGGATTTAAAATCGGGAAACTGCATTCTACATTATAATCTAAGCGTATTCCTAGAACAAAATGTAGCAACAAGCTATATGCATATTCACCAGAGAATGCCCAACATAGTGAAGTTTGTGTCCTGTTTGATCATGCACATACTGGAAAGTAGCAGGAAGGTCATAAGCTACCAATTCATCCCATGACCAATCCCAATAAGCCTGCAAAATATATTAGAAGTAAGCAATAGAATAAAAAAAAAAAAAAAAAAAAATTGATGGATGAGAAAGAGGAGGATGAGTAGGAGGAAGAGAGGATACTGAGTTATCAGGGATAAGAGATATATGCCCACGGCTATACTTGGTTCCACGGGTGCTGGCAATCCAGACATCAAAACCATTATCTGCTAAAATAAGTGCCAGAGATTGATCCGGAGGATTAAGCAGCCATGTTACCCAATCCTGCCAACACAGCATTGATTCCTTTTATCAACAATACAAAGTTTGCCAAATTAAAACGCTTTAAACCAACCACCTGTAGCAGAAATACTAACCACCAGGAGCCCGTGCTGCAATCAGGACTGGTGGCCTGTCCCCTGGTGTCTCACCTGACCGTCCAATATAACCATCTCGTGTTGTTACCTGAAATCAAGCATTTTCAATCACATTCAATCAATCAGTTGATGCCAAACCTTTGAATTTTGTAAAGCTGAATGGTATTGAATACAGGCATTAGGCATATGAATATTACTGTATGTTCTAGGCAAACATAATCTTCTGTCTCCACCATCGACTTGCAAATGCCATCATTGTCCCCTAAAGTCGCACCATCCTGAACTTTGCTCGAGTGTGTTCTTGTTCCAACTGCTGACCCACAGAACAGAATCACAAGAATTACAAAGACTAAATTGTTGGCCATAATTCATGGCTTTGTTCCTTGCTGTGACAACCCTTTAACTTCCCTGCATTAGTTATAGTATATAAATTGCAGATACAAACAGAACTGAGAATATATAATTATGAAATGCTTCAAACATTCTGTACAAAGATATTGCAGTTTGCTTTAAAAAAATCATCTAATGGGGCCTACTACCTTCCTATCATTAAACTATTTAACAGGATGAACTTTTAGATTTCATCACTGCCAGAATTCCATTCAACAAGAAATTCTTTGCAATGATGATCAGGCCAATGTGACAAAAAGGTATGCCAAAACACATGCATTAGGGACAACAATATCATGTAAAAGTTCCTTTTGTCTCATCCTACAAGCTAAATTTGTTGCTCCAAAACATACATAGAAATCTATGATCCATCGCTGACTTTTGATATATGAAAAACAGACTTTTATGCAATACCCCAACTCATAAGGTGAAAAATCTCGTCTGTCATACGTAAGGGTCGTCTTTCTCAACTTCCAATCCTGTCCAAATTTATAAGCAAACATACATGCATTGTTACCACAAAAAATATACGTTAGCTACACGTAATTTTCTCCAAAACGTAAAAGCACTCATACAACTTGAACCATTTTCTTTGTCGAAGCACATCTTAAATCTTCCTAAACCTGGAGTAATAGCATCCCTTCAATAACTTGGTTTGTTTGATTCTAAACTTTCAAGGGTAAACATTCCACAATTACACTATAAAGACACAAGCAACCATAGCAGACTGTAAGCAAGAAAATGAATCGATGAATTGGAAACTTTTAATGTGCAGTAAAGCTTTATTTTACAGCAGAGTTCCTAGATAATAGAAAGAAATGAACGCAAATTTTGAACAGATATGTGAAAACAAATATGTTTAACTCAAATTCTTTACAAGGTATGTGAATTGCGTCTGCAAGTTCTTCAAAGTTGATGATATACTACTTTTCCTCTCATGGATGACCTGGGGACAGATCCCCTTAGCAGAGGTACTCTCTTACTGCAGTACTGGTCAGGTTTTTTTTAAAGGCTCAGGCCCAGTGCAGATGCCTACAAGCTAGATAATGGAATGAGAACTCCATATAGGATGGTCTGGATGGCTCAAACCACTATGAGTAAATTGATAGAACATTCTACTGTTGTTGGTGGTATTGTAGTGTAATGATTCAAATGAAGCTTTCTAGTGATACAAAAGTACATGTTCAAAATCCATCGTCAATATAACAAGAAACACCTACGCCAACGACCAAAGAACTTCTCAAGAGAGGGACAAGGAATTCGATACTTCACTGTATTAACGTAGAGCCACTTTTACAATTGGAGTATGACAATTGACGGTAGACAAAGAAAACTTGGGTTGAACATATTTTGAGATGCAACTTGCTAATGAGAAAGAAAAAAAAGACAAGAATCCACAATCATTCTTCTAGTTGAGGTTCTCATTGAAGCTTAAAGAAGGCCATGAGAGGATCATACACAGCTTGCTTAGCATTCGCACCCATGACATAGTCTGCATGAGCATAATTATCTGTGTAGTGAACGACAAGCTTGTCTCCTTCATGATCTTTGAGGTTGTCCAGCAAGAGCTTTACATCATTGACATCAGAAAGTGCATCCGCCCCTCCATAGCTGAGGAAGAGAGGAAGGTCATTTGGTATGTTTGTCATGTCATAGACTGGAGGAGTGGGCTGCCCATAGTGTTTCCTGTTCTCATCCTCATCATTGTAATCATACATGGTGATAGTTCCGTCTCTGATCACTGTGCAAAAACCCCAAAATTATATTTGGAAATTGTTTTCCAGGGAAAATTAATTCAGATTATTTAGTGAATTCTCATCTTGGTTAAACACTTAAATTTAAGGTAATCATGTCCTTTCTCACCGCTTCAACCCATGTCCATTTAGCAGTAATGATATGTGGAACATAAATTTTGATTTACTTACTCTGAGCAATATGGATTAACGTCTTAGTTGACGTTGCCTGAGGCTCATGCTCTAGAAAAACATCTATGACAGAGGATTTTAGGCAGCAGTTCTGACCTGTAGTTATAGCATATGCTAAGTCAGTAATGGAAGCTAAGGTCAAGGAGAAAATCTATAAAGCAAGAATATATGTATTACCTGTGAAAGAGGTCAACAAGTCAGCACAGTTAACACCTGGTTTTTTGCAGATAGTTTGAAGAAGTTTAATTGCAGCCTTCCTGCTCACTTGAGAAATGAACCCAATCACCAATCTCATTCATCAATTATGTAGGCACCACAAAGCATGGTGTGAATTTATAGTTTAAACTTATTTTTGATAGGATTTCTAAGAAAATAGTTGGAGATTCATTCCAACTGGGGAAATATGTAAACTATCTTTTAATTCTAAAATTGCTTTCGTTGAGAAATGGGAGAGATTTCACATTTATGTTTCGAACTTCTCCAGAAACTGTCAGCAATATATGATTTTTTCTTCGTTCTCCTGTCAAGAGTGCTCTAATAGTAAACACTTAACAAATTTTAGAAGCATTATCTCTAGCTTCTATCCTGTCAGCATACTGGCAATAGAAGTAAGATTGAAATACTTGCAGCAAAGTGGCATATGAAAGGATGGAGAAGAAATGCTTTCTCACCCTCTTGGATCAAATTCATGAAGACCAGACCAATATAGGAACTGTTACAATAAGATACATATAGATTGTGAGGTATATAGATTGTGAGGTAATTGCATTCTGCTGAAATTTTAAAATAAAGAGAAAAGCAGTCATTACTTCAGCAAGAAAATTATCAGCAGCAGTTCTTGCAAGTGGGGAGGTCATCTGACCAACATAAGCAATTGGGCTGAGCAAGGCAGCTGATCGTAGCATGTCAAACAGTTGCCCTCGCGAAAAGGAAGCCAAAGCAATCAAAGTTCCCTGAAGATTGGAAATTTAGAATATCCACGCAAATAATTCCAAGAGCTGAATGATGCAATAATGCATTTACAAACTGTTATCTACACTACAATATTGTGTAAACATTAGTACAGAATGAAGCAACAAGATATATGCATATTCACCAGAGAATGCCCAACATAGTGCAGTTTCTGTCCTGTTTGATCATGCACGTACTGGAAAGTAGCAGGAAGATCATAAGCTACCAATTCATCCCATGACCAACCCCAATAAGCCTGCAAAATATATTAAAAGTAACCAATAGGGGAAAAAAATGATGGATGACAAGGAGGAGGAGGAGGAAGAAAGGTTACATCGTCATCAGGGCTAAGAGATGTATGCCCACGGCTATATTTGGTTCCACGGGTACTGGCAATCCAGACATCAAACCCATTATCTGCCAAAATAAGTGCCAAAGATTGATCTCGAGGATTCAGCAGCCATGTTATCCCGTCCTGCCAACACACCAGTGATTTGTTTTATCAAGAATATTAGGTTTGCCAATTTAAAATGCTGTAAACCAACCACCTGCAGCAGAATTACTAACCATCAGGAGCCCGTGCTGGAGCAGGACCGGTGTTCTGTCCCCTGGTGTCCCACCTGACCGTCCCACTGGAATTCTCTGCAGGCTAAGAATATAACCATCTCGTGTTGTTACCTGAAACCCAGCATTTTAGATCACATTCAATCAATCAACTGATACCAGAAACCTTTGAATTTTGTAAAACTGAATGGTATTGAATACAGGCATATGAATATTACTGTGTGCTCTTGGCAAACATAATCTTTTGTCTCCACCATCAACTTGCAGATGCCATCATCGTCCCCTAGAGTCGCACCATCCTGAACTTTGGTCGAGAACAACTGTGTTCTTGTTCCAACTGCTGACCCGCAGAACAGAATCACAAGAATTACAGAGGCTAAACTGCTGGCCATAATTCTTGGCTTTGTTCCTTGCTGTGACAAGCCTTAACTTCCCTGCCTTATTTATAGTATATGGCATGCAGATACAAACAGAACTGAGTATAAAATTATGAAAAGCTTTCAAACCACCTGTATAAACATGTTGCACATTGCTTTAAACAAATCATCTAACAGGGCCTACCCCCTTCCTATTAAACTGGATAAACATTTAGATTTCGTCACTTCCAGAATTCCTTTCAAGAAGAAATTCTTAGCAATGATGATCAGGCCAATGCGACAAAAAGGTATGCCAAAACACATGCATTAGGGACAACAATATCTTGTAAAAGTTCCTTCTGTCTCCTCCTAGAAGTTAAAATATGTTGCTCCAAAACATGCATAGAAATCTATGATTCATCGCTGCCTTTTGATACCTGAAAAACAGACTTTTATGAGGTACCCCCGACTCATAAGGTGAAAAATCTCCTGTCATACACAAGGATCCTCTTTCTCAACTTCTAACCCTTTCCAACTTTATAAGCAAACAGACATGCATTGTTATAAAAAAAATAAATAAATAAATAAATTACATGTCAGTTGCATGTAATTTTCTCCAAAACTTTAAAGCTATACAACTTGAACCATTTTCTTTGTCAAGCCAAAACTAAAATCTTCATCAGTAATAGCATCCCTCCAATAACTGGTTCTGTTTGATTCTATACTTTCAAGGTGAACATCCCACAATTACACTGTTGAGACAAAAAGGCAACCATAGCAGACTGTAAGCAGGAGAATGAATCGATGAACTGGAAACTTCTGATGTGCAGTGAAGCTTTATTCCTGTAGTTACGAAGGCTCTTTGTGAGACGAGTCCTTTCCATGATATTGAAGAAAATGTTTCAGATAATATAAAGAAATGAATGCAAATTTTGAATAGGGATGTGAAAACAACTCAGATTTATTACAAGGTATATTGTATTTACTCACTTCTATCTCCACCACTGTAGGAGCAACTTTGCAACAAAAATTGAAGATGATAATAATAACTCATTCAAATAATTGCTTTTCCATCTCTCTTAAAAGGAAAAATACAATAAAAATTTGTCTTCTGGAATGAGGTAGGTACTAAAGAAGGAAATCCCTCTAGAATAGCCCAAAACAAAAATGTAACCAGGAGAATGGACGATTCTTTTCTAGCAGAAGGGAATGAAAGCAGCCTGTAATGTGCATCACATTCTATCAGTAAACACATACAGCAAATGCTGTCCTATTTTATATCTCTAAACAGGCTTGATGGGTTTCTCAAGGATTATTTGCAACAGTCGCATCCTTTTGCAATCCTTCTGACACCGTAACCGTACTTCCTCCCAGTCTGGGTCTTGTTAATGGTCTTCTTAGAAACTTGAGTTGCCACCTTTTAGGTTTTATTTGTCCAAGCAATTTCATTTGCTCCCTTCTGAACTTCCTATTTGCATACCATTTTCCACCACGCCAACCAAGGCCATACCTGCAATTCAGCAAAAGGCAAAACAAAAAAATGTTAAGGCAAATCTAAATATCAAAAGTTTTGTAAGCGAAAATATGATAGTGAATGATAAAACAATCATCAATACCATGTACAACGATGAGTAAGTGTTGTGGCGCTTTTCCACATCGTTATCTCCGATCCAATTAGAAACTTTCCACATCAAACACAAAATAAATGAAAAATGAAGCCTATGTTACTAATCTACAATTATTGTTAAACTGGCAAGCACTATTTATTGTATAGGCACCATTTTTATTTATTTATTTACTTTATGTTTTCATTGCTGATTGGTGCAATTTTCTGCTGACACGTTAAAAAATATCAAGGTTTCTGCAACTATCTTGATTGAAAAAAAAGCCCTAACCAGGAAAAATTCCCTATAACATACCCCCAAGAACCCACATTTGGTTTTCCACATTACTTGACCAAATAATACAGTTATTAAGTTTAGTAATTGACTGTTCTTTTAACAAATTTTATGAAAATGTAAATTTTGGAAGAAAAAAAAACTCATAAAAATGAATTTTGGTACTAATATTACAAAGGTGTTTTTACAATATTTCTGAAATAGCAAAAGTTAAAAAAAAAGGAAAGAAAGAATGAAAGCACTTAACCGTATATGGAGTACTTGTTAAGAAAAGTTTATAGTTTCTTAAAAATAATGTTATCCATGCTGCGTATCTCTCAGAACTCATTGTCATAATTTTCTTATACATATAGCATAAAAAACAACTACTATATATTATGTTAAATTTACATATAAATTCTAATGTAATACGCAAATATATAGCCATGTCTTTGCCGTATTGTATCCTATTTTTTAAGAATTCACTGTATCCGTATCACGTTGTGTCCATATCATGTATCCGTGTCTGTGCTTCATAGGTTTAAAGATACTTCTATTTCTGCCTCCTCTGCCAAAAAAACTGTATTTGAGTGCAGTACAGTTTATCTTTATCTATTTGAAAGCATAATTTGAACCTGGAACTTCACTAACCTAAATTTGGAGCCCAAAGGTGGTGTGCTTATAAACAAAAATATACTAACTTGTTTGACAATATGTTTATCCTTTTCTTTTCCGCTGTCTTGTGTGCCTCTACTTTATTTTGCTTTATCTTCCCATTTCCCAAATAGAAAATGGAAAAAAGGACAATCAACTTTTTTTGAACATGAACATTTCCTTCACATGTATCATTTCCTATTTTGATGATATTCACCAAGTGTAATTCCATTTTCTTCAACTCATTTTAAGAACTTACATGTATACTGAGATACAGAACATGATTTTCACCAAATCAAGTGATGCACAAAGAGATAAAACTTGGTACATGAATGTTCAAGTAGGACGGAGAGCAGTACCCTTGCATTCAATCAAAGAATATCCAAGGAGAAAGCTTCACTATTTGCATATTAGTTGGTAAGTCAAACTAGATGACAGATGCATTTTTTATTTAGGAAAAAATATATATATTGATTATAATAAAAAAGCAGGACTGAGATCGAAATCACTTTTTCCTTTTCAAGTATAAAACAACTTACAAATTATATTGTATATTTACCCTCAATTTAAGAATGCAATGGTAAACCCAAGATGAAAGGTACACAGGAACTCACTATCCTAAAACTCCCACAAAAAACCTGGAATTCTTTTTTATTTTGATTTCATTTCAAGCAAAAATGTTCTTTTATCAACAACCATCTATCGGAAATACATAAAACAGAGGAGTTCAACTTTCAAAGACTGTTAAAGCAAAAAAATATTTCAACAGGAAATAAAAATAAACCAACCCGATAATTAAAGAGGTTCCTGCAGTGGCAACATAAGCTGCTGCGTTGGAACTTCCCGAACTAACAAGCTTCTTAAAGTCGGAATGTTCGATATGATAATTGCTTTTCATCTGCCAGAAAACAAAGAAAAAAAAAAATTTTAAAACTACATATAAGATCTGACAAACGACACCAAGAAGAAAGAAGTAGGAGGGAGGTGGGAAAGTCACTTAAAAATAGCATTCAGACCACCGGTTGTATAGGTAATGTGGTATTTTCTGCTCCTTCCTTAAGGAAAGGTGCAGGGTTCAGGTCCCATTGGATGGATGTGGGTGGGAAGGGGGTACTGGGAGAAGGCTACCCGCGATTGCGTAACCATGTCGTTGGAAAGGGGGAAAAGCCTTCAGAAACCCCAACAAGAGAGGAGAAGTCTCAATTTAAAAAAATATTGAACAAATTTTGCAGCCGATTCATGCTCAGTTGAGAAGACCAAAACATCTTTTAATTTAGAACATCCCCATACATCAAAATTTTAACATTCAACATTAAACTCAACCATTCTTGACCCATACCCATATGCTTAAATTACAGCAAAATTGAACACCACCTTGATCTTAGGATTGCTGCGAAATGCTCTCCCTCTTTTATCAGGAAATATGGGTCTTCCTTGACACATTCTTCACCAATGCTTATTCTGGAAAATATGAGGAAAAGCACCAAGACCACACAGGGCAAAACTTCCCTATCAGGAAATCTTCATTCTTCATGAAGATTTGAGGAAATTTTGCTCCCATAGTTGATGTCGGAAGAAAGACATTCATTTTTCTTTGGGTTTAGTTAGTTCCTTTATTAAAATTAAAAGGTGGAGCCTCTAAGTTCATTTTGGAAGTGTGAATAGCGCCACACTAAATGATTCTTTGAGAAAATGCAAAATTTTCTTCTACCACAATTCCAAGGAAAAATAAATATCGGGCCAACACACACACAATAATTACTTGGATAAATTTTTGCAACATTCAAGAAAATGAGTCTTCTAAGAGAAAAGATAATAGAGGAAAGAAGACTAGATTCAAGCATTACTCTTCAGTCATTGATACAACAGAACCACAAAATATTATTTACGAGCTGGTGGTTTACATGATAGAATTATAGCCTACAGCGCCAAAAGAAAACAAATGAAGAGTAAAGTAAGCAGAGTAACGCAAAACGTGAAGATTTGGACATGTCCTGGAAAGGAACTTATAGGCCTTTAGGATCACATGGCAATTTAAAATTTAAAATCCTACAAATTTAGGATAAAAAGTGAACATATACATATCATTAAATCATGAATTTTAGAGTGGATCATAGGAAAATCTAGAAACAAGTGTGTGTGTGTGTGTGTATAAAGAAGAATAAAAACACAAAACAGATCCAAGCAAAAGAAGGAAGAGAAGCATAAACAATCAGAAAAGATATATTAATCTGGAAAAAGGGTTACAAATAATGAAATAACCATGCTATAGATACAATAAAATAATCACCTATACTAGTAATTTTAAAAAAAGAAATAGAAAAAGATCGTCATTGTAAACGTTTTGTGAATTTAGTTAAAACAGATAACCGCAAACGGCAACATTAGCAGCTCTTTTTTTATAACAAAACATAAAAATAAAAAATAAAAGCCAGCATATCTGTCTGACATAATTTTTTATTTTTCTATTTTTTCAAAAGTTTACAAAATATAGTAGAGTTCATTGGGTTCAAGGAATTAGAATTGGTCTAATTGTTTCTAATACTAAGAATTGAAAAATAATTAGAATTGCACATGTGAGGAAATTGAAGTTCACTTTTTGGATGGGTCATTTTCAATCCAATTATTTCTAAAACCGGATTGGAATTTAACATTAAATAAAATTAAAACATGAAGTCTGACAAAACACAAATTGCTGAGGGGAAGGGATTTTGATAATGATGATCTGATAGCATTAGTGGCAGAGATGAATAAAAGTGTTACAGCAGTTGTATAACAGCGGTAATTAAGATAGTAACTGTAACGACCCTCACCCTATCCAGACACAGTATTGTCTGCTTTTGGCTCCCCGAGACCGGGGGTCACCCATCCTGGTACTACTCCAGGTTAAGCACACTTAACTCTGGAGTTCTGGTGGGTTCACGGCCATCACGACTTTGAAACGCGTTGTTGTTATAGAAGGGTGTTGAATCTACATATAGCACTTGCCCCATCCACACCCAAGCGATGTGGGATTGTGCACCTGTAGCTCGCCCAGTGTGTTAGCCTACTGGTGCCACCTGCACACGCTCACACACACCCGCCCACAAGGTCGCCACAGTAATGAGGGATTAACAATTTAGCAATTATGTGATGATAGCAATGGTGGTGACGGGTATCAGTACTATCATGAAGTTAATCGCTGTCCCATAAGCCACCATGAATAATGGTGGATGTCATGGAGATGTTATTGGTGGTGGTGCTATTTGCTAATGGATCAATGATGATGGCAGCCACCCCAATCTTTGAATCAAATGAAAAAGATAACCAGTATTATAAATTGGTATCACATAACTCTTTGAAAGATTTGGTAATCTAAAATGTTAATATGTAATAACCACTGAAAATGTATTTTGATTTACACTAGAATGGATTTAGGGTTTTAGGAAATTAGTGTGTGCCAAATTCTATTGGACTTGTTTAGTTAGGAAAAAATAAATGACGACTTGTTAAAGTCACAAGAGTCGACTCCCTTTCTTTTCTTTCTTTTCTTTTTTTTTTTAGAATTTTGCTAAAACGCAATTATTAAAAAACGAGTTTGATAAATATATGTTACGGGATCAATAATAGATTTCTACTATCTGGAAGTGACATTGTATCTTGTACAATAACTGAGGATTACAGAATAATTAGTGAACAGCAGAAATAGCATCAACATTACATCACAGTGATCCAGAACAGTCTCTTTCATCAATAAAAGATGAAATATGTCCTTGACACATATAGCCACCTAAGGGGCCAATCTGAAGCAGACCTAAATTTTGATGAGATTAGAAACTTGCATTCCAAAGATAAATGAAGAAACAATTAAATGCATCACAAAGTACAAAGCATCATATTTATATTCAAGTTGCCAAATATCCTCATTATTTATGCGTGTGCTTATAATATATGTGTATATGGGATTATGGCAAAGTTGATGATGATGACGATGATGATGATATTATAGATATGCACGTATATAACCCCTCAAGAATCTTAATTCCAACATCATGATGATGATGATGATGATGATATAATACACGCACACACGCGTATATATAAGTTAACCTCAAGAATCTTAATTCCAACACTGACATGCACAAAAACTCATAAAGTTGATATTTGAGGGTATGGATCGATTAACCAAGTAATACTCTGTTCAACTTAGGACAATAATTCTCACTATCATTGTAGTCTTAAAAGATTTAGTTACCAAAATATTACATATTAGAAGGTATACAGGTGTTGTGAGCAACTGCTGTCAGGGAAAGTTATGCACAAATACTCACAGATTTTTCAATTGAGTCAAGCCTTTCAGTAACTCTTGATTCATGAATGTGGCGTAAAGTATAACCTGCACCATCATCACATACTTTTAACCAGAAGTCCAATTGCAAGTCTAAAAATAATAATTTATCAGTGACAAATTGTAATAAGACATTCTATAACATAGGTTGGAAGTATTAATGGAAAAATGCTATGGAATGGTGAAATAGTAATCATGCAAGTGATTTCCAATTAGTTGGAAAAAGGCTTTGTTGAGCTGATTGCCTGAAGGCCTAATCATGCAGTATTGCTCATGTAGCCAGCCAATCAGTTCATGAATACACCAAGTATGTAATATTGCTTAGGTTGAAGAGCCACAAGAACGAAGACAAGACCATAGATGATATAGATAATGACATGAAGGGTAAAAAAAAGCATCAAACATTATTCAACCAAAAAAAAATATCAAAAAGGATATCCATAATATAACAAAATAACAATCTTATAGCTGACTCCAACACACACAGACAAGTCTGTGTTGAGTTGAATTGTGTAAACTTTATAAATCACCATTCTTTCTGTGAACACGACTGAAGTGAAAGCACTTCCAACCAATCCAAGGCCTCGTGAGAGAGCAGCATACTCTCCAAGGAAAATCAGATCCCCTTATTTGCACAAAGAAACAACATAAATTGAAAAAAAGTATTCAGTACAAAGCTAAACCTCAATAAATTTCAGATCCCGGGCAAAATTTAAAATATCAGTAATGTTGTACTACAGAAGATAAGGATATGTGAGACAAGGCTGGCCAAAGAGACCCACATCCCAAATATCATAATTAAACAGAGGCAGAGTCATCACTCTTCTAAATCAAGCTGACACACCAAATGAACCAAATGTTCCTTCAATAGCATAAATTGCGTCAACTTCCGAAAAACGAAAAATAGCATAAATTGCGGCTCAACATTGTCCATTAATTTAAGTCATCGTCTTCCTACGGAAAAGGGGGAAGAAAAAAAAAAGCTTCTTTTCTGAACTGTTCCATGTCACCTTTAACTTAAAATCATTTTAATGTTTGTGTAGGTCTGACTTAAAATCTTCCCATGCAAGTGCACCTCTAATCTAGTAGGTGCACAAAATTACTCCTTCCGTAGCAAAGATACAGAAAATTGTTATATGAATCCTATCAACTGCTAAAACCCTATAATACTTCAGCAAGAATTTGCATTGCAAACATGTAAAACCTAAAACATAAAAAATAACAAAAAAGATACATATTAATCTCAGTGTCAAAGGGAACATACCACCCCATGCTGTAAGAATCGATGCTAAGGAAGTCGAGATTGTAAAAACCACTTTGTGGCTCTCGAAGATTTCCTAAAACATCAACACAGAACACAAAAGCATAAGAAACCCATATAAATTTCTTATTTGCAGAAAACCCTAAAGAGACACTTCAAAATCAAATCGCGCCCAAACAACAAAACCAAGGAGAAATATATATATATTTACATATATAAATAGATACCCATTAACTTAGCTATACTCGGAGCATGATCAATATAAAAAAAATTAAAAATTAAAAAATTAGAATATATATATATATGAGAGAGTACCTTGGTTGAAAAAAAGGTGTCCTGAACAGCAGACACTGAATTCGAAACTTTTTTCCTCAACTGTGGCACTGATAGGTGCCCAATAATCGACGACCCAGAACTCCTTAGACTCCTCAAACGCTGCATACTGCAATACACCAGACACCCAGTTGGGTGGATCGATGTTTTCCGATTTCAAGTGAATAAAGCAATTTTCTTCGAAACCAAACGTCAATTTTCTGCGTGGGAAAAGTTTTCAACTCCTTTTCTTTCTTCTTCTTCACGAAGGCTGAACCAATGTCCGCATAGAGTTCTTTTTTTCGGAAATTGCCTAGAGTTTTTATCTGGAACAATACTTATGTCCTTGTAAGGACCTACATCATGGACAGATCATAACTGAATTTGAGATGAACTACTAATAAATGGACAAATTTTATTTTAGTTATTAAGTTACAGAGAGTAATCAAATCACCATTTCTGATTTAATGAATAATTATTTTTACCCCTGTCATATTAAATTTAATTGGTTCATATAAAAAAGGTATAGATCTGACTAGTCTTATTGGTTCAATTATAAATGTACAAATAATTTATAATTATAAAATAAAAAAATAATAAATAAATAAATTAGAGAGAGGGTGTTGAATTTATTCCAAAAAAAATTTATTATTCTTATTTATCATATTTTTAATTTTGTAATTACGAATTATTTGCATGTGTGATTAGATAAGGGTGCACACGGTTCGGGTTCGGTTTGGACCGGTTTAAGAGTCTTTTGGAACCAAACTAATTCTAAGGGATTCATAAAATTTGAAACAAAATCAAACCATTTGATCAAAGGAACCAAACCAAACCAAATCGTAAAAAATCGATTTGGTTCGGTTTGATTCACGTAGGGCTGCAAATCGGGCTGGGCAGCCCGAATTTACTCGAGCCCAGCCCGAAATTTTTAGGGCTTGGGCAGTGTTTTTCTATTCTAGGTCTGGATTTGGGCTAAATATTCTGACCCGAACCCGAAAAGGGTATATTTATTTTAAAACTATGTTACTTTACAAGTGTATAATAGCTTTGTTGGTAGTGTGTTTGGGATTTTTCTTGGAGGAATACTGTTCGAGTCTTTATAGCTGCACAAATTTCTTATTTTTTACATTCTGAATACAGGGGCGTGGGCTCATAGGCGGGCTTGGGCAGGAGAAGTTAATTATGGGCTGGGATTAGGTTTTAGGCAGGTTAGGATTGGGCAAAAGATTTTGTACATGGGCTGAACCCGAATTAAGTCTCCAGCTCGCCCAACCCGCCCGAGTTGCGACCCTAGTTCAACAGTACCTTTTTTTTTTTCATTCTTGTTACAGAAGTATTCATATTTCAAAATCCACATGCACAATAATAAACCAAGTTATCAACACATTTAGAACTATTAATATATTTAAAACTTTTAATTAATTCTTCTTTATCACTTTTGGAACTGAAGTGAATAAATTCAAAATTGCAAGTAACCTAATATATTTAGAATTACTAATTCAATAACAAACATTCAAGCACAATTCAAAATTTAGCCATTATATTAAAAAAAAAAAAAAAAAAAAAAAAAAAAAAAAAAAAAATCAGCTAATAAATTGACAAGACTTAAAGAGAATTGAGAGTGGATCACAGGATTGATAATTGCTACAAATTTCTAAGTGGTTTGGATTGTAAGATTATATTATTTTATATATAATGTATAATTTAACACACATATATATAACATAACGATTCGGTTCGGTCTAGTTCGGTCTTAAAGTACCTCAAATCGTAACTAAACCATATCTTTATAGTTTTACAAATTTAAAACCGTGACCGAACCAAACCATTAGCAAATCAAACCAAACTGTCCGGTCTGGTTTGGATTTTCAGTTTGATAGAATTTTTGTGCACCCATAGATTAGACCACATCAACTGTAAGTATAAATGATCTACTCACCGGTGAGGAGGTGATCTCTACTAACCGCAGATGTATCAAAGCACACATATCGTTTCTTATTTCAAAATAAAGAAAATAATAAATAAAGAAAATAATTTTTTGGAAATAAATTCAATCACTATTTGTGTTTTATTTATTTATTGTTTTTTCGACTATATAATTACAGGCAATGTGTGCATTTGTGATTGGACCATATTAACTATTAGCAGCGATAACGTACTCAACTATGAATAGACAAGTATTCACCGATGAGTAGACAACTATTGTTATTTTGTTAAAATAATTATTATCCAACTTCTTACTATTTATTTATTTAAACAGAAGTCCAATTTTTTTTTCTTTTCCAATTTAAATTTTTTTTGAATCCCTATCCTAGTGTGACACTCTTCTTTCTCTTTCTTTCATTGGCAAGTCCCCGTATCCAACATCCATCTGAACCTCCAATATTTCTATATTAATGAAATAATCATCTTTTATTCAATATGTAAAATAAAATATAAACCAATAGAAGCTTATAATTGTACCAATCCGAAGTTGCAGTATTCACAAACTTCTACTATATCTTTTCATATTTACCACTTACGACTCATAGTGGCAATTTGTGTTTGCCGGTAATAATCGTGTCGTGTCAACTTAAATGTATTATACTAAATAGCTCAACCCGAACACGACCCGTTTAATAATCGTATCAGGAACTCTCAACACTAACACGACCTGCTTATTAAACGGGTTACACGTGTAACCCGTTTAATGACTTATTTACCATATATATATTTTAATCAACCAAATTACTAAATAGTTATAGTTTACAAAAGATTAAATTATAAGACACAAGTTTATATAGTAATTTTAGAACTTAAATAGAAATTTATTTACGACATATATAGTAAAACGTGTATAAATGGGTTACACGGGTTGAACCCCTCAACCCAAACACGAGACGATTAACTAAACAGGTTAATCGTGTCAACCCGTTTATGACCCGAACCCGTTTAAGGTCTACCAAAACCCATTTAACTCGTGTCGTGGTGAGGAGTCGTGTCAACTTTTGCCACCCTTACTTATGAAAGAGAAAGGAAAAAACTATTTACCAACTGCTACCCTGTTAATTGAAAGGGTTGGGAACTTGGGTGGTGTGATTGCCCAGTTGGTAAGAGCGCTGTGCTTGTGGCCAAATGGCCAGGTTCGATTCCCCATCCTATATATGTAGTTGCTTTAACCTTTAAAAAAAAAAAAACAAAAAAACAAAAACAACTTGGGTGGGATGGAGAATATACATCTAACGCTCATCAAAAAATAGATTTAAGAGAAAAGTTCAATATAGGGTAACATCAAATTTCATTTAATATTCAAGACCTATAATTTAATGCATTACATTCTCTAAAATGAATTCGGTAATTTTTTAATTTCTGATGGAGGTTGCGTATAGCAACAATCCTGATTTTTTTTTGAATAAAAAAAATAAATAAATAAATTAGGTTTAACGGTAAGAAGACATGTAATGACTATTTTTTAAAAAATTAAAATTATAGACACGTGTCTAAATTATATTGGGAGGATCCAAGTATTGTCCATTTGTTAAAGAGAATTATTTTTTAATTTTTTTTTATTCTCACAAACTAAGGGAGAGGGGACTCGGGGTAACTCAGACACACCCGTTCGAAAAGTTGGATTTTCTACCGACTAGACAACTCCATAAACAGAATTAGAAATTAAATCATGTTGTTAAATAAAGATTTTCTTAGAAAAAGAAGTAAAAAAGTAAATAAAATTTACAATAAAATATTGAAAGATTCAATTAAAAGGAGAAAATTAATAAAGTTTATAGACTAATTAATAACATTAGGAAAGTTTGAAATTGAACTACTAACAAATTTATACAACAAAATTCTTTATAAAATAAAATAAAATTGTTGAATGAATGTAAGACGAGTATTATAATACCACTTTACAAGAATAAGTGAGATATACACAATTGTAATAAGTATGGAGCAATTAAATTAGTGAGTCATATAACAAAATTATGGAAAGGGTAATATAACAAAGATTAAGAAAGAAATTCACAATATCTAATAACCATTTTGAATTTTTCACAATTACCACAATGGAAAGCATTTACTTAAGACAGTTATTTGAGAAAAGGTGATATAACAAAGATTGAGGACGAAATTCACAATATCTAATAACCAGTTTGGATTTTTAACGATAATATCCACAATGGAAATCATTTACTTAAGACAGTTATTTGAAGATTATATATATCTATCTGGAGATTTTTTTTTTTTTTTTCAGAATTGTGTACTCTACCAACTACGTTATTGGACCCACGTGGAGAAATATTTTGGTGGGTTTTACTAAAAAAAAAACAAATAAATAAATCCAAATTTATAAATATTATTTTCGTTATATACATAGCAAGGTGTTTGTTTCTTATAAATGTAGGATTTCACTAATTATCAGTTAGATCATATGTATTCCAAAATAAGAATAACAATTAAATTCAAAGGATAATTAAAAAAATAACCATTTTTTATATTTAAGTTCAATAATACAAAATTGATGGACCAACAAATGACGACATAATTCGTAAATTTGATCGAGCTAAACAAAATGGAGACATATACTAATAGTGTATTATGCAATAAAAAATATATATCAAATCAATTAAAACAAAAAAATTATAAGAAATTTATTAGACCATATATCTTATATGGAGCCTTGGACTTTTTTAATTAGAAATAAATAAATAAACAGCACATATATGCAGTTGAAATGAAAAGGTTAAATTGGATGCCATGAGTGAATAAAACATACATGTATACTAAACAAAGTGTGAGGGACAAATTATGAGTGAGAAGACCTATAAATGCATTGTCATAAGAGTTAGATTTGTTTATCAGACAAAGATGTCAACTAAAATTAAATACTAAAATTAAATGGGGGATGAGGTTGGGAGAAATTATTTTTAAAAGTTAACTATAATATGAGAAATGATTTGTATAGGAAATAAAAAATTAAGAATGGTAATCCATATGTCTGTCCCTATTTACATTGAAATAATATTAAGGGCTAATTTGGTGTGCGTGAATGAAATGGAATGGAATGTAAATGAAACTAGGAATGCAATGGGAATGGAATGGAATGGGAATGATGATTCACATTCTCTTATTTGGTTACAAACATGAAATGCGTAAAAATGGTTTGACTAATGTAAAAACTAAAATGGAATAAATTTATATTGTTTTCTCCAAATAACCTTTATCATTAATAAAAAATTCAACTAAAAAATTAACATTTAAAGAATTTTTTTCCAATAAAGAAATTTTTTCCAATCTAGGGTAAGAAAGAGGTCTGTAAGAATGAAATTGGGGCAAGAAAGAGAGAGAGAGAAAGTAAAGAGAAGAAATAAACTGGACAAGTGAACGA